CCCCTCTATTTCAGATAATCTCTTGCGCCTTGTTATACCCCCATATCTCTCATTTCTATTTGAATTAAGGTCCTTTTTTTCTCCCAAAATTCAGTTTGAAATATAATAGACCATTGTATGTCGAACAGATACCAAAAGATATTGAATATTTTCTTTATGAACAGACGTCAATATCATTTTCTTAATTTATTCAACTTCGAAAGTCAATAATCAACTAGATATCTATTTCTATAAGAATACTTTTCAAATAAGTATAGCTTAGTGGTCTATGTTCACGACTTCTGATCGATGGTTCACATGTTCAAATCTGCTTCTCGTCATGTAAGTAAAAAATTCAATTCAAAGGCTAAGGTATAAGCTAAGGCCATCAGGATATGATGTTGATGGTGGCTCGGTTCGAATCTGAGATGAACTGATATGTCTTTTGCCTAATTTCAGAATTGAACTGGAACGCATCTAGACGCTCCAAATGTTTCATCCACGATGCGTCTAAACGCATTCTCATTGCTACAATTTAGACGTGTTTTGACCCAAAAAATATTTACATGTGGATTTATTTCCTTTCCGTGACTTGATTGGATTAAACTGTTTGTATTTCAGTCAATAAATAGAATTAATTCTATTTATTGACTGAAATATATTATTTTATTGATCATTTTACGAAAAATATAATCCTTTGGAGACGGATGGATTCTTTTTAGATCATCTATTTTTCAGGAAAGAAAAAAGTGTCTAGTTCACATTAAACTATTAAATATTTAGAATCATAAAGACCTATATTTTTTTCTCTTCTCTTTCGATCTTTTGTGTCTCGAGAATGTCCTCATTCTGTGTTGAGGGTGGGTGTGGGTGAGAGTGAATCACTTGATCGAAATCCTCACACATACCCTCAGCGCTTCTCTTTTTTTGTCATTTTTTAATCTCAGGCTGGGCAGCAGTGGATGAGAGCAAGATTGGTGTATAAAAATGGAATTCTCACTCTCAATACACCCTCACAGGCTGCAATAGAAGCAGGACGTCAGCTTAGGTGAGCTTTACAAAAAGAATTACACCCACCCCCACCCCCACCCACACCCATATTTTTCAGGTTACATTAAAATAATTAATTTTTCAAACAAAGTACATTTGCTCTTATCGTTGTTGTAAAATAATTCAAAAGTTTCTTTATGTCAGAACAACCATAAAATAAGTATTTTCTTTGTATTACATTATTTTTTTTATTTAGGACTTTGGTAGTACATAACTTACCCAGATCTAAGAAAAGAGCATCGTAAACTGCATCAAACGGTGGAAAAACGGCGATCGTAGTCCGGAACGACGGTTTACTGTGAAATACGGTTCAAATTGAGGCAGTAAATTGCTGTTTTCTAACCGTTTTCGGTCGTTTAAGGCGCCGTTTTCGACCACCGGAATGATCGTTTTGGGTAACTCTCGTTAGCAACCGCAGGATAGCAAGACTTGGATATCCTCATTGCTCGTAGAAACTTTGTATTATGATCAGTTTTATGGCTCTCTTTCTATATTAGCTCGATCTATTTCGAATATGTACATTGTTACACAACAACATATTTCATTCTTGTAACGTATGCAACGAAGATGAGTATTTATATTTACAAAAAAGTTCCATCAAAAACCATGACACGAGAACCAAATGGTCTTATGCTCTGGAGGTATGATCTCTTTCCCAAAATCTTCCGAACGAAACTTTTAAATTTCATAGGTTAGCGAGCCAATAGTAAAACAATCCTTTTGGCTTGAACGACGGCAGCAGAAATAGAACAAACCAGTATTAAATACATTGTAGTGAATATGGAAATAGATACATTCCAAAGAAAGCATTTCAGACTGCATCTAACAAAATCTTAAAACGTTTTCTTTATAATTATCTCTCCGAACAAACTTACATTCAATTTCTAAAGTTGAACGTACCGTATCACTCTATTCTTCAGATCAACTATTATGTCTTCTAATATTCACGCTTATAGCTCTAACGAGGGAACGCCCTAAAATGTCCCCTCAGATTACAATGAAATTTCGTCAGAAGTTGGTATATAGTGCCGTGATAAAAATCCTAAAAGGATTTGAGTTGAGAATTATTCCTTGCAGAGTTATGCCCATTTTAGTAGGTTTCCGATCTTATGGCACCGAGACATCAATAGTGAAGTGACTGGGAAGAAGACAGTCAAGGCCCTATCGGGACATCGACAGTCTTTCCCTGGATACTGTGAGAAAAGATACATGATGTTTACTACCACTGAGCCTGTTTTTCAAGGATGATTTTTAACAGTCTTTTAGTACTGCCTAGGGATGCATGATTTTTTCGCTATGTCATTAGACGACGGAAAACTAAACAAATAAATTTTGATCTGAAACTTATTTAATGCATAGCTTTGATGATTTTTATCTTATCCTAAAAGTTTCAGCCTCGATTAGTATTTCTTTTTTGATATACTGGATTTTCGAGGGACCCAGTCGTAATCCACAGATGTATAATAAAATGAAGTTTTCTCAAATTTCAATATTGCAAGAAAGGAGCATTGTTTTAAACTGAAACTTTCAGGATACAATAAAGGTCATTAGAGCTATATATTAAGGAAATTTCAGATCGAAATCCATTCATGTCATTATCCCTCTATGTTGGGTGCCTTAAGGTAGGAAATCCAGTAAAATGGACATAACTCTTAAAGGAATAACTCTCAACTAAAATCCTTTTAGGGTTTATATCACGGTACTATGTACCAACTTTTGACGAAATTTCGTTGTAATATTTGGGGCCATTTGAAGGGGTTCCGTAGTAAGCCGGTTGCTTCTTTCACTTTCTGAACGAAGCTTCATATTTATTTAAGAAACATCAATTACAGGCTATTAATAATACAATCATTCCTTTATTAAACGACTACACCTGCTATCTCTAATTTGCACAGACGCTTGATAACATCTTGATAAGTTCCTAAACTCAGGTACTCATGGAAACCTAGTAACGAAACAAACCTACATCCGTCCTTCTCAACATTTACTCTCACTCCCTAAGACATGACTTTTATAAATGTTCACTCATATCTTCGTCCTGGATAACGATCCTGATCATTACGGAGGCTCGCCCTCACCCTCAAACCCAGGGGAGGAATGTTACGCCTCGTTCCTCTATCTTCAAAAAATTAGCCGAAAAAGACGGATGTAGGTTCTCCCTACTCTTGAAAATTTCGCTGTTTTTCTCATCATTCGAAGAGAAACCACTAAAGTTAGGCAACTAAAGCAAAATACGATGAATTATTATATAAGGAACAGTAATCTTATTAACCAAGAGGGACTGCACTGCAATAATCATTATGTTCCAAGAAAATGAATCATACTATTAAACAGTAAAATATAAAAGTGATAGAAGGGTGTGGATGTGGGTTCTCTTTGGTTTATCCCCAGCAACACTCATTCACCGGCAAGAATTTTGAATTTGAAAATTCTTTCAAAATTTCCGTCTTTTAAAATAGATTTATCTATAGTTTACAAAGCTACCTGATGAGATTCGGTGCCAAATCGAAACGCATCGTAGTAGCTGCTGAAAACACTTTCAAAAATTGGATTTTTTTAAAATATTATTTATTAAAATCACCCTCAAGTAGAGTATAATTCTACATATAGATTTATTTTTATGAATCTATTTTTATCAGTACTTGTCACTTGATAATTAAAAATCAATATTTATGAAATACACTTAATTATCTTATAGTAATTGTTTCTAGTCATCATCTTCAAGATGAATAACCTCTATATCTTGCCACGTAGACAAGCAAATATCGGAATGAGTATTAAATCTATCAATGGGGATAAAGTCAAATGACCTATAGCCTCAGTGACTTTTAAGTCCTCCAAATACAATTCAGTATTACGAGACCGATATTCTGCAACGATTGAATGAAGGTATGTATCACCGAAATACAAATACTGTGAGTAGTTATACATCGTCGGTGCGATGTAGAATCCGAGTACAAAGATGATTGTGTAAATAAATCCATGTAAAAATCTCTCAGTCTTGCTTTGATGATCCTGATGATAGCGCAATGGATGAGTCATTTCTTCCCGCCGACTCTCCGGAAAAGAAAGAATAATCCCACCGAGCACTCCAACAAAAATAAGGTAAATAATAAATATCCATACATAAGCACCGCACATTGGTATTATGTTTGTAAAGATATATGCTAGCGATACTACAACAAGTATAGAATTCATAGTTATAACGGGACCCTTTAAATATTTTTCCCAGCTGCTAGTACTAGGTGAGTCAAATAGTTTAGGTATAACATTGGTAAAAGAATTCCAGCATTGTGGTATGATAAAATTTGCCATTTTGTATCCAAATATATTGTAGCATTTCCATATTGTAGCACTTGGGTAGGACATGCATTTTGGTTGTTGAAAACAATACCAAATAAAGTGAGCAAATTGCGGTAAGAGTAACAAGAAATCAAGGATGTCAATATCCATGCGATGACGGTTGTCATCGAGAAAGTATTCTTCTAAGCCCGTAAAAAATGTTTTATGTTTACAGTAGTTCCAAGTTCGTTGAATGATTTGAATAATTAGCATTTGTATGCCAAAAATCCAATAAGGCTGAATACTTAACTCACCAGGTGGAAGCATATAGAGCAAAGAATTTCCATATTGAGTTGTTGCGTTAGTATTCAACATAATATTTTCTTAGAGTCTTCCTTATAATATGTTGCAAATATTTTTCAAAAAAGACATGTAACGCGGCCTAGTAGCCGCTAAACCCTCTACTGAAAGGATAGAATTAGAGCGCTGTCATTCATCCAAAGAGAGAAAAAAGTTATTTCAGTTGAACGATCTGATCATTTGATAATTTGTCAGAATGTTTTACCTAGACCAATTTCGCTTCCTGAAATCTTCTGAAATTATAACGCCTAGTCGTTTGTCGACCTCTCTCCGGTCGACCACTCACCGCTAGCCNTGAAATATGTTCTTTATAACTTTGTATATCTGCACCATTCATAGCGAACTTTCGAAGATTGCATTGAAGCATTCTTAATTGTTGAAGATCATATGTTTCTTCACTCTCTGTATAGACTGACAGAGAAGTTAAATGATCAGTTGGAATTTTTTTAACGACATTCTCCACTGTTTCACAATCAACATGATAAAAAGTCAATGAACGAAGTCGCATAAATTGATTAAACCTATCAGGCATTTTCCATTTATCGCTAAAGAAATATTCATCATATGGATCACCGAAAATAAATAGTGAAGTGAATCTGTCAAGTTGAATCGCATGAGAAAGATTTTCCAAATTCCAGTTTGAAGCTATAGGATATTTTAATTCAAATCGATTGTAAATATTAACACTATTATAAAATTTTCTGCAAACACAACGAATTGAACGAAGAATTGTTTAAGTATCGCAATAATCAAAAATATGATGTAATAATTCGGAGGACAAATCGAACAAAGACGGGAAAACCTGGAAAGTCGGAGGATTGCATATGCGTTTCGCGTCATTCAATGCACATGTGTCTTCCATTGTATGGTTTGAAGTAAAGTGTTCTTCTTCGATACTCTTCAGAAAGAAATCATATATTTGCATACTTGAATAAGAGCAGACTGGGCTTTTTCTCTTCTCCAACAATAAACAGGTAAATCGAAAAGATTTGGTCATTTCTTTTTTACCAACTAAAAAAAGGAAAAAACCAGGAAAAAAAGTAAAGCATTCAACTCGAATTACCTTCTGTATGTCGCCGTTCTTTTTCGTTTTCCTTCTTCTATTATCAAATGCATTTATATATTCGTATGCATCAAACAATGGTAGAAGATACAGGAACGAATACTCGAGTGGGTTGCTTGAGAATTTTTTTCCTTCACTACACATCCCCCATACACGTCCGATTGTGTGGACAGAACAATTCAAGAGGATGTTTTATTTAATATTAACAAAATACATCCATCATATGGAACATAAATGGTGTTCGTTTGATTGAATTAATCATCATTTCAGCGAGCTCTTCCTCGGCATAGTTTTCCCCCTTGCAGTTACATTTTAATCTCGTTTCCATTGTTGGCAAAATATCGAGAAAGAATTTCCAAGGTTGTCGAACTCTCGAAATGGTTATGGTTTACCTTTTTCTCTCTTGGAATTTGTTTTGCTTATGTAAACTAAGTAGTGTTTATGTTTCTTTTTTGTTGTGTAAAATTGCCTTCTNTCGCTCAAGTTGTCGTAGAAGATCACCCATATTCATATAACGTGATGCAATCTTGTTTTGATCAGGTGACGAACATTCCAGTTCGATCGTTAGTGCACGTTGATAATGTTCCATTGCCAAATCGAATTTGTTCTGTTTTTCGAAGAGACATGCCATGTTTGCGTAGGTTGGTGCCAGTTGTGTATGGTTGTGAGGAACATATCTCAGATCGAAGTCAATTGATTTTCGATAATATTCAAGAGATTTGTCCAAATCACCCTTCTCTTCGTAAATCCAACCGAGATTGTGTGAGATATACGATAGCTCATTGGCATTCCTACCCTCTCCATTCACAAGCATAGTTTCAAAGACGTCCTTAGCAGTATCCCATTTACGTACGGTCATCATAAACGATGCTAAACGATGTATTGCATTTGGACCACAAATTTGTTTACGCATGTAATCCGTTAATTTGCATAACTGCAAATCAGTATCTTTCGTTAATTGTAACTGAATATTCCATATGCGATCATGCATATGTTCAATGTCATTAATTCGAAAGACTGAATGCATTGAAAAGAGAACTTCATTTTCTGTTGGATAATAACTAACACCACGTAATGAACCATATGGAATAGATCGAATTGCTGGATCTACTTGAATTTCAAACAGGATCGATACGAGACCTTCTGTGTTCAAGGAACGTCGCGCAAATCGAAGTGAAGTATCACGACTCGTACTTGTCGACAGGAAGTTATTGAATGAAAGAAGACCACCTTTACTTTTTTTCAATTGTTTGAATTCATCTATGAGCATTCTACATGGATAAAATACGACTCCGGAATCCAAGGATATTCTGTTAACGACTTACCCTTGACCGCGATACAGAATCTGTGGCGTGTCCGTGATTGGATTCTCATGAAGTTGCTCAATCTGTCGATGAAGATCACGTATGAAGAAGCCTATTTGATATGATATATCAAAATTTTGCGTTCGGAGAGCTTTATTAAGCATTTTATAGAGGAAACATTCTCTTGTATACCACCATGCCGGAGAATGTCGTTCGTAATCATGTTCAAATTGATTGATGATAACCAATTCTCGTGCATTATCAATATACTGTTCACGGCAAAGCTGAATAAACGCTCGTCGAGCTTGTTCGTTATCATTGAATTCCAATAGAATTTGTTTGAGTATTTGAGAATACATAAATGATGGGTCGAGTGTATTCAAATCTGCATTAGATACAGCTTGTGAACTTAAAATACTTACTGGTATTGCGGTTTCTTCGACAAGATGAATATCTTCACGAAATTGATCACAAACAGACTGGAAATTTGAAAACAGGCCTCTCGACTTCATATAGGATATGTTGTATTCGCCAGTATTGGAGTCGAGCACATAAAATGAATGAAGTTGTCGTAAATCATGTACTTCTGGCAGAACTTCTGGAATGAAAAAATCCGAAATAACAAGAATAACACTTTCATTCACCGCTTGTTGAGTATAATCTATACAATCATTCGATTGATGAAATATTTTAAGCGTATTTGTAGCTGGAAAAAGTTGATTTATTTCTGAGTTTGTTCTGATTTGATCGGATTCAAAAAGCCAGACAACGATATAATCATCCAAAATTGTTCTCCAACGTATTTCTTGTGCCATAGATGTGTCGTCGACGATGTTTTTTCTTTTCTGATGTAAAAAAAAAATATATATATGTTAACTTAGTTCTTTTTTATTTTTTCTTCTACTTATTGTATAGGGCTTTCATGTGTCAACTTTTCTCTGACTAGTTAATGCTCCTCCTTTTTTAAATTTTGATTGTAAAGTATGTTATGAAGTGAACTATACTTTCTTTTTTTTCTTCTTCTTTTCTTTCTGTTCTATTGTGACGCCATTAACGTATATGTTTCTTTTGTTTTTGGTATATTCTCATATGGATCATCTATTCAGATGATCTGGACATGTACCATCTCAAATAAAACATTTCCATAGACTCATTGGTTATTTCTCTCTTTCGATTGTATAAATGTACGATGTTTTTCACAAATAAAGTAACATGACAAGCGACAAGAGAGTATTCTAAGTAAGTGACTATGTGCAAGAAGAAAGTCACAGCTTCCCAGACAAACAAGCAATGGAAAATAAGACGTTTCTAAGCGTAAAAATGTGCGTTTGTTACATTTGAGAAAAGAATCTATTTTTGTTGGAAAAGTGCCCATTTTTACCTTTAGAAACGGCATATCTTTCAATGCTTGTCTGCTTGGGATAAATGACAAAATTCATGGAAAATGTATCCATTATTCAACAAAAATGAGTCCATCTTGAACATGAAAGACTAGAAAAGGAAAACAAATTAGCTACTGAGCAGACAAAAGATTAGGATGATCAAGTGTTCTGATCAAGAGTTCTTATTCTTATGAAAGAATCTCATAAGATTCTTGCAAAAGTGTCGATAAATTCTGTAGAATTTCCCAAAAACGCTTCTACACTTTCGATCAGAAAAGACAAAATTAATAAACATTAAAAGGACGTTACACCCCTAAGGTTTCAATATTGGAACACCTCTGAATTGTTGTTTTGATTTGTTGTTGCTTTTCGTCTATATGATTGATTTCTCACAATATTTTGAAAGATATCAATAAACATTGTAAGATTATGATAAATTTCTCGGTAGACATTATTGTAAACAAATATTCATGCATCCAAATTCGATTAAAATCAGTTTTTACAATAAAAAATAAGTCCTCCATGAATCCTCTGTTTTTGCGACATATTCTCAAAAGAATTTCGATTAAATCCTTCGTCGTTCTCTTTTGTTTTCAAATCAGCGTTAACATGGCAGATTTTGGCACATATTTGACAATCTCGAACAACTTAAATCTTCTGTAAATGAATGCAATACTTTGTTTTTAAACAAACATTTATCTAGATTGACATACTTAGATGTTTATCAATGATCGAAGAGTTACTGAATACCTTGAATTAAAGAAGAAGTAGAAAAACTTCATTTAAACATAACTGCTAATTTCGATGATGATGATAATGACTCTAAAAGTTTATCTATTTGAATCAATCGAAATTAACTGTTATTCTTAGTTTTAAACAAGAAATGTTCTACGGACAATATAAAGAAAAGTTTTTTCAATTCCATTGTTTTTATTTTCATTCTTTTAAGTTTGATGAAAAAACAATCTTATGAACATTCATCTATATCAAAACAGACTTTTCGTTTAATCTCGATTTTTCAATAGATCAAGGTCAAAATACTTGATTAAGAAAATAGAGAGTAAATTAAATGAAATAACACAAGATGATAAAAGTACTGTTTATTAAGATTGATATAATTTATGAAGTTTTGGTAAAGTAGTTGTTGTATGAAGATATTGAACTTGTAGTAACTATCCATACATCTGTTGTTTGATTGTATAATTCAACACTATCTAATGATGTAGCAGAACTATGGATCCACCACAGACTAAAACATAACCATCGGTTAATACTAATGATGTATATGTGTGACGCGGCAATTAACATACTTTCAGTGTAGTTCCATATTCCTGTTCCATGATTATATAACTTTGCACTATTTAAATAAGAACTATACTTTGGTTTTGCAGCGAAATCATTTACTTGAAAAACAAAATCATTTGTAATTAGAAAAATAATATCACTATATACTCTCACTAGAATCGAATTCGCTCATTCAACTGATATAGTAATACAATGATCAACCGTATCGTAATGCGATATGAGTAAAGAGAACGAGCTGTTACGCTACTCTGTGACTATTAGTTCTATAGTTTTCGACATTTCACATGGATAGAAATAGCCGTAGAGGAAGAATATCAAGTTGTTTTCATTAGTTTTGGCAAAGGTAAATTAGTTGCTTGATTTTATCGAGACATGTAGGTAAATGAATTTGCCATAAAATCCAATTCCCCACGAACTCACTATGGTAGTGTGTCTATAGACATATTGATATTCTATACTGAAAATCAACGAATTGTTTTGTCATGACCATTGTTTTTCTTGTAATCAGAATGTAAACAGAACGGCAAAATTATGATTATCATTTCTGTGATATCACCATAAGAATATGACGCACGTTGAGGTTAAGAAAGAAGGCGTAGTGAATGCTACAACGCCCAAACTCACATAATTTGCTATTGTCAGCAAAAACAACAATCTCGGCATATTATTAACCAACAGATTCTCTTCTATTCAAACAGAACAGTGAAATCACGTTATTTCACAACCTACAAATTGTTATCACGATGTCTCAAATGAAATCCTGCTCCAATGTTTTCAACATCTTAGCATCCTTGATATTTTTCATTCATTTGATCAATTAAATCATCGTTTCAATGGTCTCATACGAAAGACTCCATTCAGTTTAAATCTAGAAAACATTCGAAATAAGTCTCGATGCGAACAATTTTGCATGAAAATGTCCACTGATCCAACAATCAGAAATCAACTTTATTCATTACATTTATCCAATGAAAACACTTGTTATCCAATTCATTTGTTTCTCTCAACATTTTCATTTTTGGACTTTCCTCATCTTCATCTGTTAACATTACACGAACTGACAGAAGATAATTTAAAATCGATTCGTTCATGTCAAATAATAATGATGAAAATAAATTGAATCATCAATCAAAATAACATTTGTTCTCTTGTTTTTCAAGGCATTTACAAAATACTTTATTGTACTACTTTAGCATCCATACGAAGGCCAAAAACTCGATAGAAATATTTGTGTATATCATGTAATCCGAACGAAATAAATACGAATAAAAAGCTAACACAAATGTAATTCATTTGCAAAACTTGATAGAACTTAAAAATGAATGTTCTTGCGACACAGTTTTAAAGTATTAGGTATCTATCATATATTCACAATTATAATTAGATATCTTTTCATAAAGATGAGACCGAAATGCGTAAAGAACTGTGCTTGAATTCGAATGTACTATAGAATTATGGTATTGGTCATGTTAATCAAGCGAATGGAGATTATCAAGCAGCTCTTTTTCATTGCAGAAAAGCAGAGATAATATATCGAAGATATACGTCACCTGAAAATCCGAATTTCATTCGTGTTCTTCTACATTTTGCTGAAATACAACAGCTCAAAGATGAATTGCATGGAACTGTTAAGCCTTTGAAAAATTGTCTTGTTGTAATACAAAAAGCTAGTCCAATCAATAAATCGCTTTTGCACAAGGCATATTTGATGTTAGCAGATATCTATATACTTCAAGAAAATGTACTTGAAGCACTTTACGTATGAAAAAGGATTTGTAATTGAAGTTGACGATGAAATTGAATATTATGCTTATACTATGTTGGTTATTGTTTATTGATGTTAAATTGTACATTGAAATACGAGGAGAATTTCAACAAGCTCTGACTATGCAGATGAACACATTGATTATTTTTCAAAAATATGATTATTATCAGTTATTATATTTCATAGAAAGATTATTCAAACTTTGTGATAACGATTATCAAAATCCTGCCGGTTTCTTTAATCAAGATCTTTATATGAAAGTTATTGTCAACACATCGACTGCGTCACTGAAGTTCTTTAAAAGAAAAATGAATTACACTTCCATTTGCATGAACAAAGAAATGTAATTACGTATTATTACAAAATATATTTATGAAATGGCAAGGAGTCTCTACAGAAAACTCACCGTAGCTGCAAATATCGATTCAAATGTGAACGAATTGATTAGCTTAGCCGATAAAATCGATTCTGATGTTTTTCATTTGACAACTCACTTAGCTCCGAGAACTTTCTCCTTATTGTGGACTTGATAATAGTAGTTAAAGGATGAAATTTTGGCACTTNTAGGGGATTTCGTTATTACTACGAAGGTAATTATTATACGAGACATCGAAAGCGAGGCCTATTGCGACATATATTTAATATGTAAACACAATAATCATTAGATATTCGCCTTCACACGTTTCTATTTATTTATCTACCTGAAAAATAATGTGTTTTATGAAAGGATGTTTTTCGAGAAGAATTTAACAAGAACTATCGCAATACACCTCGAAGCCAATACAGCTCGGATGTCCTTCTACTTTAGTTCGCTCGGTTTTTTCAGAACTGATCCTGTGATACACTTATGATGATTGACGAAAGAAATCAAAGATAGAAGGAAAAGATATGATGATATTTTCTCGTGTAATAATCTCGATCAATGACAGTGAAATACTGATGTTTATTTGATACGAAAGATATTTTGATAAAAAAATTAATTTGTAACTACTTAAACAGTATTGCAATTGATGTTCATTGAATAATCAATTGAAGAGTAACATATACGAGGAGAGAATAAAACTTCATGATATATATATATATATACTTTTGAAAGAAATTTAAATATTTTTGTACTCTGCAAACTCAGACACTCGTAGATTAATTAATCATTTTTTACGAAAGAAATCCAACTGCGTAGATATTCGGACGATTGAATAATTTTTTTTCTACGTTGCTTTAGTACCCGAGACTCACGATTTCACCTTTCAATAAATGAATGCGCATTAGAGAAAGTACATGTGTCCCTTTACGTATCAAGCATAACCTGTCTGAAGAAAAAAAACAGTACCTACAATCTCCATGATACGCCCGATGCATTCTACCATATATTTTCATTAAAATCGTATGGATATGAACATATCTTTCATAACGTATTATTATCTTTTTGAATCAAAATTTGAAAAATATTGATTGACCAAGGTTTAAAATATTGAAGTTAATTCTTTTGAAAAACAAGCAAACTGCGTAAATTACTTTTATATAAATACCTTTTACAAATGCACACACATGATCACACCCTTAACCATACATTCATATTCGATAAAGGAAATTCACAATCACGCATGTCCCAAATGGGGCTTCTTCGTGTTTTACTACCCTATAAAAGCCTGGAAGGTTTGCAACATTTGATCATTATTATCAAGCAAATTAAGGTATGTTTTAATCAATGCATGTCTCCTCGTTTTATCTAATGAAATTCTTCGTTATGTATTTAGATTGTTGGTTTATTCATTAAAGTATTGAGGAAAAATCAATCAGAATGTCGAATGGATTGATGAAAAAGCTTCGTGAAAATCCCATGGCAATTGTTGTTTCAGCATTTGCTGCATTTGGTGGCTTTTTATATGGTTATGACACCGGTACCATTTCGGGAATAATCGATATGCCATTTTTTCTGGAAAAATATGGTTATCTACAGAACACTGGCACAGCTAGGTATGNACAACGATGGTGAAACAAACAAACTTGAAGTCCCTAATCCTTCCATCGCTTCACATGGAAAATTGTCTGGAGATTTCACCATCAATACCACATATTTCAAGGCTTCGAAAATTGTCGTCTCATCGTTCGATTTTAAAAATAAAATACTCGATGAAAAGTGAATCGGCACACTCACATCCTCACCCCTGACACCCACTCTATTCTGGTTTAATATGTATGGCGCGATGAAGTTGGTTTTTTCCGTTTTAGCTATGTATATAAACTGTACCTTTTCACTCACACGAGCACAGAACAACATAATGCATTTTTTATATTTACTTGCGTTCGTAATCACCGGCGTTGCAAGTGAATGCAGCCGTAGTCAAACACAAATCAATGAAGGAACACGTCAGTGCTGTTACTACGACACAAAAGGTATTCCAACAATTGGCGTCGGCTTCAACTTACAACGTTCCGATGCGGCAACTGTTCTAGCGAAATATCGCTTAAAACTAGCCGACGTGATCAACGATTGTAAGAAATCAACGAAGAAAGCATGTCTGACTGAATCACAAGCAACGGACATTTTCAACAGTTATATTTATCCAGAAGCAAGCAATTGTGCGTCCGAATATGTTTCAGGAATGCCGACAAGTGTTCATGCAGCACTGACTGACGTCGCGTTTGCTGGATGTGGTACACTCAAGCAATTTGTTAAAATGAAAGCAGCGTTAGACAAAAAACAATGGAAAACAGCGAGTGAAGAATTAAAAAGTTCGAAATGGTGCGCGGATGTCAAGTCAACACGGTGCGGACTTGATGTAGCTTGTATTGCATCCGGAAAATAATCGAGAAATAACGAATCCTTTCTCTGTTTTTCATTTTAAAAAATGTATTCCTTTTTTAATCAAGACATTACATAAATAAAACCAACATTACCCAAGCTCAGAAACCGAAACGAATCAACACATCAGATTTGCATTTGTTTTTCTACACAATCGTGCTGCCAAGTTTCTAAGGCATATTCGTAATGAGTCGACCACAGTCTCACCCCTCAAGATGGTACCGAAAGAAAAAAACGAATAAAATTCATAGATCTTCAAGAGTTAATAATTGAAGCTATTGGTTGTTATTAACATAGATTTGTATTCTTATATTCTGCCATTGGTACTGGTAGATAATGCTTGCTTTTATAATATTGATGTTGGTATTTATTCGGAGACATTCTATGATGATCTCTAGTTTCTATTTCCAACATCGTACTCAAAGGAGAGAAACTAATAATACTTCCACTGTCTAACTGTTTTGATCTTATATACAATCTGTGCATCCTCCCCATTTTATCTGGGAAATGTTGTATGTCGTGTCTTCATTTTTTAATTAATTTCCAGATGATAGATCGGAATAAGTAATTAATTCAGGTTAATTAGTCGGAAAAGTAAAACAAAATATGGAGAAAATAAATAGATTCGAGTTCAAAACCTCTCAGTACGAATAGTTTTTTTTCTATATTTAATTGAGCTTTGTGCTAATTGTCACGCATGCTGATGGAACGTAAAAATCATCTATCACATTTGGAGAAAAAGAACAGAATCTACCTCTTCGATCAATTTAGGAAATGGTTTAACATATTTCAATTTGCTAAAAGAAAACTTCTTTTCAAAGACAAGCAGAAATTCTATCCTTCATAAATCATTTTCCTCCTATGACGTCGAACACAATTGAAGATATTTCTTATTCACCAACGATCTTCTCTCCAACAATTCAAGCTTATCTCTACTTGATCCCAAACATCATCGCCATATTTACATCTATCTTTGTTCTCTATCATCTTCTTTTCGATCGAGCACTTCGACAAGCACTCAACAATCACATCATCATCGTTATTCTCTTCACTAATTTCATCTCTGATTTCACCAGCACACCATGGCTCATCTATTACAACTTTACCGGAACCTCTCTCGTACCAAATCCCATCTTTTCCCTTGTTTGGGTCTATATCGATTATGCGAGTTATGCACTTCAAACAATGCTCTTCGCATGGGCAACAATCGAACGACATATTCTTGTTTTTCACGATCAATGGCTGCGAACAACAACTCGACGCATCTTCATTCATTATCTGCCAACAACGATCATTTTCTTGTATGTAACATTGTATTATCTTCTGTTATGTTTTGTCCCCTTCTGCAGCAATATTTATGATTATTCCCAAGTGTGGAGAATATTTTCTTTCAACGGTGGTGTTTGTTTTTTGACCAAACGAATCCGACGATGATTATCATTATCCGTACTCTTTTTCGTACTGAATGTTCCTTATCTACTCGTAAAATTTGCTTGTACATTTGAAACGTTCAGTAATCTTGGAGTTGAGTTTAGTTTTTATACTGAATATTTCGTTTATTACATTGCATTCCTTCTAACACTGGTCTGTTGTATGCAGTTACCAGATTTACAAGCAAAAGAACTTCATTCTGTTTGAAAATGCGAACCGCAGCCATTCATCCAGTAACTCAAACTCATCAAAATAAAAAAAACTATGAACATTCTCACTCGTAAAAACTAGCATCGCCATTGCTTTCTTATCAGCACGGAAGCTAACTATTCTAGTTGATGTATGTCAAGATTGTATTTTTATTGTTGTAGATTAATTTCGGTGAGAATAATAGAAGCAATGTCCTTCTGTGTCTTTCGGTTATAAGCTGCATCTATTGCAGAAGAGAGCCCCTCACCCTCAAGTTTCATTGTTTTAAGATAACAACTACTCATATATCAGACTTTCGAGCACCATCAACAAGAAAGAAGAGCCTCTCCGATAATCATATACCATGACGTGTCGTTAGCTTACGCAAACAACATAAATATATAGATGAGACGTCATATACTATTTGTATTGGTGCATCGATACTAACTGTACCTATTTCATTCTGTTCTGTCAGTCTACCCTTGGCGGAAAATCGATAAGTGATATGTTGTCTTCACGCACACGTTTTTCAAATTTATACCAGGACGTTTGTTATTTTTTTGGAGGTCGGTTGTTCGCTTAAAAATAAAATCTGCTGACGACGAGCGCATTGTCTTGTAGCTTGGTGTTTTCAGACAGAAATAAGAAACACGTTCTCTGCCCGCAAAGGCGTTTCATACATCAACAATCGTCGTTCGTTTTAAACAACGCATTGTCTTCAAGTCGCTTTTTCTTTCAAAAAAAAAAGGAACCACTTTAAGTGTTTCTTTCATTCTTTGTCAATGCAATTGTACGGTCGGTACAAAAAAAGAAATCTTTGTTTTTATCATTTTAGAAATTGCTTTATAAATCGCAAATAAGCGGGTCAATCCAATGTCCCAAAAAGAGCCTGCACATGGAACGTGGTTACGTCGATCGGGAATCATATTGGTAATTGCATTCATGTTGTTATCTTTAGGTTTCGTTTACACGAAGTTCAGTTATAACAACGTGAAGTATACTCTATTTGTGGAAAATGACTCGCAATGTGAATCGTATTATTCGACAAAGGGGCAAACATTCGAAAAGAAGTGCCACTGGTATTTTGTTAATTACACTCCTAGTGCATGGGAACGTATGTGGTATGATAATATACAAGAATTGCAAAATAAAGTTTGCAGCACACTCACGACTGGGCATAATGTGAATAAAACGGTGTTATTGATGAAACGATTGCTTGAATTACAAAAGACTGGAAAAAGCCAACAGCATGATGAACAATACGTTAATGATGAAGTCTTCTCTCGAATGTTTTACCGACAACGCTGTTTCAATTCGCGTACAAAGATGTATTCCGATGGAATAGAAGTTTTTCAACTGATTGAGCCACTAGTAGGTTTATTAAGAGATCCGTTAACGATATGTTCACGTCTTGATGCATCCCAAGTACCTCCATCGCTGTATAACGGCGCCGTTCTCCTTTCAAAACGGCACATTCTCCTGTCAATTTCGGCTCCATTTTACATCTCGTCGCCATCATCACAACAGCAGACTATATCAACTAAAGATTTTATAACGACATACTCCAAAACTAATGTACATCCTTGGATGTACGACCGATCTCAAATGAACGCATCACTTACAATAGGAAATCGAAGTAATGGAAAGCTGATATTATTCGATTTGGGAAGTAGCGAATTTGGAAAGAATGTCGACATTGATACGACTTCTACTCGATGGTTTTATGAATATTACAAACGTTTAGACTTAAACTTCGATCGAATCATAGCTTTCGAAGCCCGGGTATTAAATGCAACAGTCGCATGGGAACAACTACCTGAAGACGTTTTCCCAGTGTATACTCTTATCAATACTGGCTGTACAGTGACTGGAAAATTCAATCCTTGGTTTACTCTACAAAAGATTGCTAAGCCGGAAGATCATGTGATCGTGAAATTAGATATCGACACATTCGACGTGGAAAGAGCTTTAGTAGATCAAATTGCCAACGATTCAGCTATTCATTCATTAATCGATGAATTGTTTTTCGAACACCATGTCTTAGTCGACGAAATGCGAGCTTTTTGGCGACCTCCTCCAGACCCATTGAGTCAGTCTTACATCTTGTTCACGAAACTACGACAACTAGGAATACGAATGCATGGCTGGCCGTAATATTTTTATTTTTCTAATACAAGTTCACTTTTTCTTCGCTCACCCATAGAAAACTCTCATTCAGATCGTTCTAGTAAAGATCAAGAGCGTGAGATTAAGCAACAATGATTATGTCAAGTACGAGAGATATAATCGCAGATCAACTGTGAATGTCAACTCGTCGATGCTTCTGCCGCTTCAAAATTTGCTTTATACTGATCCAGATACCTCCAAGTGATGTTAGACACACAAATGGAAGAAGAAGAGGAATGAAATAATTCAGGAACGAGAGCACTTCTACTGACGTGTAGGTCCAGCTTAAATCCGAAGTATAATGAAATATGTAAACAATGCAAATCGGAAAATTGATCGATAAATATAGTGCAGATATTGAAATCAATTGGAAAAACATGCGACGATATTTTCCCCAATGAACTGATTGCTGTAGACGACGCCTTGATCGACAGACTCGAATGATGAGTAAACTGCTAAATACAATAATAAATGTCGTTGCTATCATGCCGTGTAATATTGTTTCCCAAAAACCAAAAACATAGTCGCTAAAATAACATGGATCGTAACATAAATTCCCGTCTAGTTGCCAACGTGTTTCACATGGCAAGAGAAATATAACGTAGATATAAAATATCAGCATGTACAGTAACAAAACAATCGGTGCAAGGTAATGACAGCAAATCATCACCCGTTTTCGATTGTAGAGATGGCTATGAAATATCAAAATGTGTCGTTCGAAAGTAGCCCATGCAGTTAGTACTTGAGACGTATATAAACCAAAAGCATCAATAAACCACCAGACTAAGCAAAACATCGGTGACTTGATTAATACTCTGTACTGATGATAAAAGTAAATCGCCCATGGAATATCCGTACCAACAACAAGTAAAGAGGTGAATAACATGAACAACATGATGTAGTTATTTGGAGCGGAACGAAGTGACTTTTTGACAAGAGTACAACCAATGACGAAAAGATAACAAAGAAGAGAAGGTATGATGAATGAAATCAGTAGAATAACTCGAACGGTTCCGGGAATAACTGTATCGGGATAATAATATTCATTGTCATCGAAATTGTCGGATAGATTTGAGTTGATGTCGGACATGATATGTGAAAATTATGCGTAAGGTATTATAATGAAAAAACTGCGCACACCATGTACACTTACGGAAAGCATTCTGCAGAAAACTACCTTATAGTTCTATTTCCTTCTCTCAGTGGGTGATAATATTTCTCGAGTTAAAAATACGTTGTCAATATTAATTTTAAATAGAGAAAAATTCAAGCAGTTTTTTAATTATGTTTTTTTTTCTCTTTATATATTGAAAATAAACCGGAATTTCCTCTTTATAAATTAGCTGTCAGTAACGTTCATGGGTAACACCTGCCTATGACGTTTTTTAGCACAACCTACGCCACTCATTATTAAAAAGCAAAGGATTGAAATCTGTTCAATTATGAGTCCTTATAATCACGCTTTTCATGAAATAATCGACACATAGGGCATTCTGCATCCATGATCATATACGTTGTTTGACGTCAACAATTGCAACTTTTTCTATATATTCCCAGTCGGCGAAATTGATCTCCGACACGCGAGTATCCCATGAACAACTTTGTATAGATCTCGGTCGAGAACAATCGCGCAGACTTGAACAGCTGCCGCACAGAATGGCCATGTTACAATTGTGCTTAAGTAGAAGAGTTTCATCGCGGTAAACATAAACATCACGTTGGGCACACCACTGATTACAAACAGGACAATCATAATTAGAATATTTCGAAGTACTATTACTTCCATTTGCCGATTATTATTCGAACCCGCACGACTTCCTAGGCTATCTCGACTCTTTTTCATTTTACGGTATATGAAAATATACATACCAAAAACTGAAAAGAGTGGAAAGCCGTAATGAGCCGCTAATCCGAGAATAACATGTAATGTTGCAGAGAACGGAACCCAACACAAAGAGTTCGGAATAAAATGAATATCATTCGTTATAAGCGAACTGAGAGACATCAATACCGCTGCCACCCAATTAATCAAGATCATTATCCAATGAGTCTTCTTCGTAATTAAAATTGGATACTTAGTCGCAAAAACAATGAAGAAGAAGCGAGAGAGTGTTTGTATCAAATACGAATACGCTATAGCAACTATCGACATATAAGTAAAGAAAGCACGCCATCGACAACTCATGTCGCTTGTTTGCCATGTTAATAAAACGAGATAAAGATAGTCAATGTCTTGTACCACGCTGTAAAAAATCAATGCGACTGAAGAATTACACATCAGAATGTGTCTGCATGTGTGAAGAGTCCTTTTCGATCGGTACACTACGATGATTATGAATATTCCCAGGATAACTGTAACCAAGGATAAAAACATCCCTACAGCACATGATATGTGAAGTTCTTTTGTGCTCAGTTCGAAATCGCTTGACTGATTCATTACTTAAACGGTTATTACCAGGATTATACTAGATGAAGTTCCTAAATCTAAAACAAAACAGAGAATGCCTGGAGTTATTCAGCAAAATCTTTTTCTTCGGCTGAACCAGAATCTGATTTACGAAATATTCCGTAAGGTATACAGAGTATCTTTCTGGATGTAGCATTAATTTTCAAAAAGATATTTTAACGCGGTTGTATAATGAACGAGTGAAGCACATACTTCTTTAGCCGTTGAGTTGAATTCATATGTTTTCACTGACTATACATTGCCGAAGTTCCGTTCGCTCTTATAGTTGTATTGACGAGGAGTTTTCCAACAGATTCGATAAATAGAGCGTGATGATTACCTTCTCTAGTGAACCTTCTCTTATCAACCTACGATGGATTTATGTGTGAAATAGGTATACAAGAAAACCATCTGCCATTTATTCACTGCCTTTCGGCCGATGTCAGCAAGCAGCATTAGTTTGTTCTTATCTTCAACATTCAAATATTCAAGAACAGCTTTGGATATTTTTACACATAGCCGACTCGTCAACAGAAAGCATGGGAAATACAAAGCGGTGTTTTATTTACTGATAGTTCAACACATGGCAACAAGGAGAATATTGTTGGAAATTCTGCTTAGATTTATTTTAATTGAAAGAACAGTATCCAACGCAATTTTTCGGCTAACATTCAATTCCCTTCTTCGTTTCTGTACGATGATATGAAATAGAAAAATATAACGGGTAAATATTTTAAACTGCTATCTTGTCCGACAAAGCCAGTAATATATTGATTCTTCATGCCATTCTTTAGAAAACCGTGTATCTTCACTCTCACAACTACAAAGTAAAATAATAAATATTTCACTGTTCGCTGTCATTAAAGTCATTCGAAAATGAAGCGTCATATTTTATTGATTTTGGTCGGAGTATATCACACCATCGGAACCAATGGCTATTTGTAGCACGTGCAATGCAGCGGCGTGCCGGAAAATGGGCGGAAGTTGTGCCCATGGGGCTATCATTAAAATTAGTTGCGAATAATTAATCAAATCTGTTGACAACACAAATTCGATTTGTATTTCTAAATCATATTAATTTTTTATAGGTTTTAAACATCTGATTTAGTTTCTTGATTAACTCACTCGTATCACCCGCGTGTTTTGTTATATTTATTAAATTTCAAACCTATCAACACATAGTTCAACATGTTGAAACAAAGTTATCACGAAAGACATGCGATGGTTTTTAAAGATTTTCTGTTAGTTTTGTCTGAATTTGAATAGTTTTTTCGTTTGTTGCACCAAACTTCGGAATTCTGCCTTGTAGATTTCCGCAGGTAAGACAAAAATTGGAAATGTCATCATTAATGGGCAAAATGAAATCAGATAAGCTGTTAAAAAGACATATTTTTGCCATTGATCAGTTACACAAACCAATGTAAAAGAAAAGATCAAACGCATGAGACTAAATATAATCAGCAATATCGGACTTCCATACAAAGGAAGTTGTCGCTTTAAACATGCCCAATATCCCTTTTCATGTTGACTTCTAGCTACAACTTGTTTCATCTTTGTTGTGCGATGCAGAAGAAATAGTGTCACAATAAAGTTGATCATACCTGGAATAATGAGGTTGATAAGATTCACTGTTAATCGATAATACTCGATCCAACGCGAAGGAAATACAATCACACACCATGTATGACGATTTATTAGTCGAGGATCATCGATTATTTGTCGAAGAAAAGGCTCATACGACGAACTGATTAAAATAATGATCGTAAGAATTAAAACAATTCGTTTCGCCCACCAAACACTCTTAGATTTATTGAATGAAACACCTTTGATAACATTAATACATCTTTCTATTGCCACACAGGTGATAAGCCAATAAAAAAGCATTGGACAGATGTTTATAAAGTATTCGAGTATGACACAACTCCATTGAGCAATTGATCGATTGTTAACATACGATATTTGTGTTTTTAAAAGATAGGAAAAGCGGCCAATTAAAAATAATAACCCCAACTGACCAATGATAGGTAGATACAACAAATAAATGCCGCACCCAGTCTTCTGTATTTGTTTTTGCTTGAACACAATAAAAGATACACCATTTGATAGAATTCCAATGATAAACATTAAAATAAGAATCGATAACACAATTTGAATTATCAATGGTTGACTTGTTAACAATTGGTTTGCTAGAATATCTTGACCAATGATCATATCGAATGAAAATATATATTGCGATGCTGTTAAATGACACAATGATCCGTAAATACATTCGTTACACGCACAGCTAAAATCCCAAATGCCGTTAAATTCATTTTGTACGCATTGCCCATTGTTCTGACAATAATTTGTTTTGCATTCAGTTGTCTCACGCTGAAATACAAGACAATCCGGATCGCGATATTTATCACAGAAACATAGGTGAACTTCATCCATAAAACAAATCATGTGATGATTTCGCTGACAGAGATATCCGTAGTACTTGATGCGCTTAGCCAATGGCATATTACGTATTGTTTTGTTGAAAATAATATCATTGATATGTGGACAATGATTGGAATTGTCGATACTTGTTGTTACATTTGTCATTGTCTGTTTAAGAATACCTGCTATGTAAAAACCACGATGATTTGGTTTGAAAATGATTTCGAGAAGGATGAATGATGATAAATATCGATGATTTGTATTATAAACACGAAGTAAATTGTTTAATTGTATTTGCTTATATAAAAGTCGATTTGCAATCGATAAAAAGCCAAATGAATTATTATTTAATTCGAGAAAATAGACAATTATTGTCGGTTTCGATGAATATTTATTTAAGTGAAAAGTTTTGGAAAAGTAAATATCAACTTGCCCATCATTCACTTCACACGAAGATCCATGATAACCATCACGACATGAACAAATATACTTTTGTGGTAATCGCTCATCCGTTGGTAAACACGTACCACCGTTCTCACATTTCACATTATGACACGGATTGAATAATCCATAACATTCATCGCCTATTCTTCCAAGAGAACATGCACATGTAGATTTATACACACAAATTCCTCCGTTTGCACATGGGCAATCAGAACTGATATTACAAGATTTGCCGAACCAGTTTGGTTGACATTGACAGTATTCTTTCGAAGGCGAATTGAGATATTTTCGACAATAACCATGATTGCAAGAAAGTGTATTACAATTTTTTTGTTCTGTTAAGAATAAATCCAAAACCAATCGATTAACCGGAAGGAAACTAAACGGTACATCAAATAACCATGATGATACATACTCAACAGTAAATCTTGTCATAGAATAAGCACGAAGATGAACAGTCCAATTGCCACGCTGTTTGGGCGGTGGACGTGGATAATTCAAATAAAACATTTGCTTCATCATGGGTACATGAATGATCTCTTCACAATCTGCAGTTATTGTATCGTTAAATACTAAACAGGCAATTAGTCGAACAGCATTTTCTTTGTTTTCGTGCCCATTCAGATTAGCTGGTCGAGTCATTCTTAATGTAATTAGCAAACGTTCGGAATGATATTGACAGCGTGAACCGTAATAGGTAGGTGGGCAAAGGCATCCGAGATCAGATGATCGTTTTTTTATGATAATACCACGGTTACAAAACCATTTGCTAAGTAAACTTGATTGCCTGTGTTTATGTTGTTGAGGTTTGAACGAATGAAAATCCATCATTACAGGTTTGCGAGTGTCTTGAAAGAATGATCTTGTTGAAGTTTGACGCGGATATTCTTCAAGTCGGTCAAGAGAAAAATGTAATTCTCTATTATACCTCAAAGTACAAAACCATTCATCTTCGCCATCTGGTTGACAATCAATGACATCATTACAAACTCTAGCTTGTGCAATCCCGATTTGATTTTTGCATACAAAATATCTAAGACGCGTATTCGTGTAATTTGATATCCATGGACAGATTAATTCATCGTCGCCTTCCGAACAATCATTGACTTTATCACAAAGTAAGAGCGGTAATATAGACAGACTGTTAGAACATAGAAAATCAGGAAACCTGTCCCCAGGATACATTGCTACTTCGTCAGTCCCTCCTAAGCAATCAATAATGCCATCACCTGCCCGATCTTTTGATAAACAACTAATTGTGCTATTCCGATGCGCGCAATAATGTTGATTTGCACCACATTTGAAAACTTGGTGTGTTATATAAGAGAAGATCGTATTTGAACAATTTAATTCATCTTCACCAGTCTTTGTATCCCAAAACATATCGCAACGATATGAACGCCATTCTTCACAACTTGTCTCATCTGTTTCATTGGCAACTGAATCATCCAATACTTGACGATAATTGCAATTTTCTCGAAAAGTATACTGTATTGGTGAAATGTATAACCCTCGTAAATATTTACACCTTATATCAGTAGCTATTCGACATTCACCAAGGTACAATTCATAAGTTTTCTCATTACAGTGTTGACTCTTAGCCAATACAACTGGTAGCCAATCACTCTGTGGCGGGCATTGAACGCGATCGGTTAAATTCAAACTATCGATTATTGTCGAATCGATATTATCCCAGTCGTCATCGTCATCAGTACAATCAGAATGTCCATCTGCTACTCGATGTTTCGAAATATATTTCATCGATTGATTGCAGTAAAATAGATAGGGAATAGTTGCGTCATTTAATACCGATTCTGGTATTGGTCGACATGATGAAAACGTTAACCGTATTTCTTCCGATATGTCATAATACAAATTTTCAGTGAATTCTTGTTCAATGCATAAGAAATTATTGATTACGAATGAACCAGGAAATGAAAGTCTGGGACATTGACTTTGATTATAGCAAATATGCGTTGGTACCCACCATTTCCCATTTTGATTCGTCATATTTGAATAGAAATATCGAACGAAGGGATAGACAGAATTCGCTTCTGATTGGAACCAAAATGAACTGGGACAAATCTTTCGAAAAGAATCAAAAAATGTAAACTCCTCCGTTGAATCATACGAAAATAAACAATCCTGATAATTGTAACCCATTAGAATTGTATTGATTTTACCTGTCATACATAACATCAGAAACCAACATTGAAAACTAGTGTTAGACGGTATCGCTAAGATATTACGACGAAAAAATAAATCGCGACCATTATTACAACCCTGACCGATCTCTTGGCATTGTCCATCTCCACATGAAATCCGTTTTATATCACACAAGCGAAAATCACAGGGAAAACTTGCTGTGAATGAACAGAACGAATTGTCTTTCGTTTGGATATATTCTTCATACTCATCACTCAAATCAGAACAATCAGAACTGAAATCCAGAAGAAAATTCCGCGGAATGCACATTCCATTACGGCAACGATATTCATCCGTTGCACATTGATTCAGTTCAAGTAGAAAACATTCATCAGGTTCATCTTCACCATATTCACAATTATGAATTCCATCACAGATTTCTCTCCAATCAAGACAAATTGTCGAATGGCATCGAAGTCCTTCGTAACATGTTAATAAAAATTCATCATTGACAATATCATACTGCTCTGCTAATGATTCTTTGTCTTCAAATTGATATCCAACTGTATCCTCAAAAGGGGCTTTTGTATCAAATGAATATTGACATTGATCACCAAACCAATTCTCTACAGAAAAATGTCTCATTTTTATCAAATCAATGATATCTACAATCTTCACATTACCTGAGCAATTACAATAAGAATAATTACCAAACGAGAAATCAACGCCAATTAAATATTTTTCATACTTATCAATTGTTTCAATCGGTGCATTCCATCGGTACAAATCATAACTATCGACATTTGTTAGTTTTAATTTTTCAAATGTGTAATTTCGATCACCATGACAATGATTGTTAATATTATTATTGTTCTCGGAATTTATCATATCGTCTCGAATACAGTATGATACTAGTTGCCATTCATGCACGTCATTGTCACTTGCAAATGAATATAAACAATCTTTTTTGTCCGGTGGATTGGTATGGTATAAATGGAATAATCCATGAATCTTCAGAGATATTTCAATCACAAGGATGTAGAAAATCATTCTTGCTAAGTTAGACATCAAATGAATGAGAAGAAAGCGTGCTTTTACAAGAATAGAGACTTTTTCTTGTCAGTATATTTCTTTTATAATGAAATATTCTATAGCATATTTATTTTCTCGAAGGTTCTACAAAATACTAATAACATGAACCACACATCTCATCTGTTCTCTTGCTTCATTAAAGAGAAATACTTTGCATATTATTCCAAACGTCGTTTCCTTATCTTTTCAATCGCTCGTGACGGATTTTATTCGAATTGAACAAATATTTTGTTGATGTTCGTGAAGCAAGATGGAAAATGTAGGTTCAATAGGTTTATTGAACTCAAGAAAACGAACAACATGCTGAAGAAGACTCAGAAGAAGAAGAAAATAGAGTGAGAAGAACGACGACCTATATATATACTAAAATGAAAGTGCGTAATAGTCGTCGGTCCATCAGGAGTGCAGAACAAGAAGCAGAAGGACACAAGGAGGACTGAAAGAGAGCGTCACCAACATACTTGCGATATTTATATTCAAGAGACAGAAACGATCATTTCTCGCAGCGCGGTAGCAGAAAGGGCCCCACTCAACAAATGCAGATAAATGTCGGCAACAATTACAGCAACAAGCTGGAAAAATTCCGTCGGTTCACTGGCAACGTCTTGTACCAAGCAAATTGTTGTAAGGAAAGCCAAGAGAAACAGATGACTTATTTTCTCACACCCACATATTCTATGTTTGACTGTCCTTCGGAATGGAAAAGTCAGAAGAAGTCATGGTGGGATATATTCATCATCGACAGATTATTGAAAATAAGGTATGACTCACGTCGGTGTAAATGATAGAGTGTCTCTTTAGAGAAGAAATCCATCGTTTGAAGAACTGTATAAGTTATATCATTCAAGATAGTCATTGCATGTGGGAATCCCACAGCAAAAAGCTTCGCCATTTAAAGAGTACTAACATATTATTGCAAAGTAGATTATAAATTCCCACAACATTTGTGTTCAGATTAGGCTGAGGATATCTATCAATGCAATAATTTGATGTATTTGGATACAAAGTTATGAATGGTCCGGTAAATATTCCTTTGTCTTCATCCCAAATCCATTAATCGAATTGTTGATATTTTTCTGGAATAGTTTCCCAATCACGAATATACGTATGTTAACAAGTTAACTTTTTCCAGGAAGAATACAAAAGCAGCAATTGTTAGCTGTGAGACACAGCTCACACTGGACAACTACTGACTGACAAATGCCTAATTGGTTCGTTTCATGAAAAATAACAATCTTTGCTTTCTATTAATTCTAATGCGTGACACAGTGTCATGATTCAGCTGAAGACTAGTGACAACCGCAGTGTCTTATATGTTTTTCAAACCGTTTGAACATGTTCAGGACAGAAAGAAATCAAAGTTTCAAATGTGTTTTGCTTCACGCACGTATATATATATACATGCGTAATGATTTCTCTGTATTTTTGACAAAAATAGAAGAACTTGACACTCATCCTCGCTTGCATCAATCATCACTCTTGAGATTCTTCAAACTCTGTCACCGATAGATTCACTTGTTTCTGTACACTCACATATCACGTGAGATTCTCTACGACCAAGCAAATGATTCTGAGCAAGCGTTATTTATTGAAAATATTATACTACAGAAAAATCAGTAAGCAGTCACACTGGTTTCGTTCTACCAATACCCACCATAACCATATGGAGCACCACAACCACCACAAAACTGATTACAAATTTCATAGCCTGCGAATGCACCTAGTCCAGCATCCATGAGTGGATTGCTAATTCCAATGTGCGTATAGTTAGATTATTCGTGCATCGGCAGATAAAAATACGTCTTTTATGTAACGCCTATATACTCACTCCCACCTCAATTATTGTATAAAACATTGATTTATATTCTCATTGACGTCACAAACACATCTGTCATAGAGAAAAGGTACTGTAGCGCATTGTCCAGATGTATTTTACTTCAACTACGTAACTCTGAACACATTCTATTGTCAATTCGGGTTGCTCATAATAGATTCTGCTACCTATTGATCGAACTTAATCCTCGTTAACATTTCGTCAAGTAATGCGATAAAAATGTCATCGTTCGTTCAAATATCAAAAAAGATATTTGTTCTGTCCTAATCCTACTGAAAGTTTATCTGATATCATCATTCACAAAATAAAATAATAATCAGCGATCAACATGAAGCTCTTGTTTTTAGTCTTTATTTGTCAATTTGTTTTGTGTTTTTCACAAAGCACATTCGATGACTTCTTCGATTATACAAGATATCTATTCCTAAGTTTCTCTCCAACTGCCGAATATTTACTTATTCACACTCGATATCCATTATGGTCTAATAATTCTTATTCGCATAGCTTATGGATTTATCATATCGAAACGAGAGAAAAACGGTTAATTACAGAAAATCTTCACCCATCAGTCAAACCAAAATGGTCACCAACGGGGAATTTTCTTTCTCTAGTTCTGAACAATGATCGAAATATGTATCAATACTCCGTTAAATCAAATGAATTGTTACCAATCGATATCGGACACGACAAAATTCCATTAGTTTTCACATGGTCAAACGATGATTCTGCTCTTTATTTTGTTACAATGGCGACCAACAAAGAGAAGAATGTCGATGAAGATGATTGGAAAGACGTGATTCAAGTTCGAACAGATGATAAGATTAATACCGAAATTTATGAAATTAATTTCAACGAAAGCAATTCTTTGTCGTTAATAAGAAAATTTTCATTTTTCATCAATGAAATCCTCTATGTTCCGTTGTTAGACAAACTCGTCTTTACATCAGCATCAAAAATATTAAATCTCGTCGAAGATTTTGAAATGTATTCTCTTGACTTGAAAAATCCATCTTTATTAACTAAATTAACAGATAATCAAGCCACGGAAGAAGATTTACAATTATCCAATGACGGAAAACAAATTCTCTTTCGAACTTTATCATTAAATTCACCAAAGAGCCGAATGAACGATACACAAGGTCGTCTCTATTCCGTCGATTTATTGAATGGAGAATTACAACAAATAGGAACGGATTTTTCTGGTAATATCGTTGGATATGCATGTCAATCTGATGGGAATATTCTTATTCTTGGACAATTAGGAACACAAGTGCAGATTTATTCAAAACAATCTTTAATTGATCATCATCAGGGATGGAATGGAACTTATGAATCACTTGTGATATCAAAAGAGAAGAATTTGATTGCATTTGTTCATTCATCGTTTGATAAGCCTATGGAAGTCTATATTGTCAATCGTATCGATGAACTTTCCATAGCAGAATCGATAACAAATTGTAACGAATTATTTACCGGAAGTAATTTTTCTCAAGGGACAGTTTATACTTGGAAAAATCGAGATGATAATCAAACAATTGAAGGAATTTTACATTATCCATTCGGTAAACTTCAATCGACTAATCTTCCTCTTTTAGTTCTTTGTCATGGTGGTCCGTATGATGCAAGTGTCAATCAAATGAATAACAATGGAGCAAATTGGGCTCCATTAGCAGCTGCAAATGGCTGGCTTGTTTTAGAACCAAACTATCGTGGATCCACAGGCTATGGCGATGAATTTTTCAATCAAATTCGTCATCGACCTTTATCCTTACCCGGAAAAGATATTCTCTTTGGTATTGATAGTTTAATTCAAGATGGAATTGTCGATTCACGAAGACTTGCTATTGCAGGTTACAGTTACGGAGGATGTTTAACAAATTGGTTAATTACACAAACAGATCGATTCAGTGCCGCTTTATCTGGTTCCGGTATAATTGATTACAGTTCAATGTGGGGTACTTCGGATATGCCGGTCCTTATTGAAAATTTATTTGGAGGATTTCCATGGAATGTACCTGAATTATATCAAAAAGAATCACCGATTTATAATTTCGATAAAGTCCACACACCAACACATATCATCACAGGTGAAATAGATGTTCGAGTTCCCGCAAGTCAAAGTTATATTCTTGAACGAGCACTCTATTATCGAGGAGTACCAGTTGAACTCCTTATCTTTCCGAATGAAGATCACGCACTCAGTCGCAATCCAAAGCATCAAAAACTTAAAGTTCAACGAGAACTTCAATGGTTACACAAATATCTCTGAAAACAAAATGACTAAAATTTTATTTTTTTTTACAAGAAAGAAAATATTAAGTTAATAGGTAGATCAGAACGAACTCAATTTAGTTGACGTTGATTTTCATACATTCAAAAAACCAATATGAAGAAATTGTTGACGAAAGCGTTCAGGAACGATGGCGTAAGTTTAAAATGGAGACTAAAAATCGAACAAAAAAGCAACTAGCGGAATAACAAGTAATTACTCACAGCAAAGACTAATTGAATCATTCTCGCTTTCGCTCGCATAGAGGTTAGACGTGCTTGTTCTACCACTCTTATCAGTGTAATACTTTCTCTCTCTCTCTTTCTTCTCATTCATTTACACGAAACGCTGAGTCATCGACTCATTAGCTTTTCTAGTAGATGACTTCTTTAAAGTCTCAGAACGGGACTATTGCACAACAGCCACATGTTTATTCAGTAGATGAAAATGTACGAACGTATGCAGTGATGAACAATACTTCGTTGTCAAATAACGAGGTGGTGCAAGAACAATCGATCATATACTACAACGCACCAGCGAATTATCAACAGAACCAGCAACCAGTGTTATCTCCAGCATATCAAACTAATGTTAACAACGTTGCTTCTTCCGTTCTATCAATGACTAATTCAACGATACCATCAACACTAATATCGGAAGCAATGAAAAGAGGATGTATGGATATAAGCGGATCTTCTGAATCACATGTACAACTACAGCAACAAGACTATAATAACAATCAACGTATATGCAATATCAACCGACAGGGGTATGAGTTAATGAATATTAACCAAAGAACTCAAGTAACATGAACAACCAGAATCTGCAACCATCAGTAGATTTCTGTAGATATGCTGCCACCATAAGATATCAATTTTCTCCGTTTATGATAGTATTTACGAAGGAAGTTAGGATGAAGATCATGGTTGACGAATTAATTAGATATACTGATGAACATAAAAGTTCGAACTCAAACTGATCGCATATAGAAGAGGTAGACCCGAAAATAATCAACAGAGCATTCTGGTATTCGTGGAGAATGTCGAATCGTTCACGTTTTTATATGAGCAAAGCAACTGGCCTAAAACTTTGGTTAATGAAAACTTTGTGATAAAATCTCCATCGATTCCACCACAATTGTCTCTGGTACTTCCATATGTATCTTTTCAAATAGACTGGGAAGATTTTGTGGAGGAAATAAAGGAAAAACATCCAGAAATAGTTAATGTAGTCAGACTGAAAAACGGATCTCAACAATCAGTGAGCGAAAGAAACGAAATCCTTAAAGAAGAAGAAATATGAATTATGTATATGAAACTAAAAGTAGTCGAGTACTTGGCACTAGCCAATGTGCTGATTTGTTGAAACTATTTTGGAATAGGACATTTCAGAAAGAGTTGTCCTCAAAAAGATGAAGCAACCTGCCGAACATGTGGAACGAAATGTACAAATTTGGCTGATCATCAATGTTCAGGAGATCTGAAATGTGTTCATTGCGGTGGTCCACATCACTCCAATGATTCAAAATGCAAAGTCGTAAAAGAATATAGAGCAGTCCTTACTCGTGTAAGTGACCGTGAGAGTTCCGTTTATTGGTGAAAACCAAGCAAGGAAAACACACGTACAATATGTGAGAAGAACCGGTAGAACAATAACAAGAAGAGAACGAACGAACGATAGAAAACACGACTGTATTTACTTGCGTGTGATGGGGAATAATCCTTCACATATATATATATATTGGTAAGGAAAAAGCCCGGAGAATATCCCATGATTCAATATGGATATTTCCAGTTACCTTTTGGTATAATCCCTTATACCTACACAAAGAACAAGATAGATGACAAGTGGATCAGTACCATTGAGGCAATAGACCAACTGAGGTAAAAAAACGATGAGAAGAAATAGGAGACTACCGAGAAATGAGAAGCGAAGAAAATCAGAGTTGATCCTTTGATGAACTGTGGAAAATAAGAGAAGATAAATAGACTGAAGGAATTGCCAATGATGCCACATATAAAAATTATCAAACCACCAATAGCTAGAGTAACTCGAAATACATAATTAAGGTGAGCGGTTTCATCAGTAAAGCTGCTCATTTGGCTTCATTCAAGAAAAGAATCAGTTTGACATTCATATATATCGAATAGTTTCGAAACCCTTGAGACATTTACTTTTGTTTCTCGAAGTGAGTTTTACATTAATTTTGTCATCATGCAACACCACTTATATGTCCTTATTTTTGTGAATTTCGAAACTAAAAGCTCATGAATGAAAGTGAGGATGGAGTCAGACTAGTAGATATATTCTGGATCTGTATTTACCCTTGTTGTCGAACGATATTGCAACAAAATGATCAGTGATGGATGAGTAGTATGACGAAAACACCGTTATGTGCTCTCTCTTTCATTTTTCTTTTTCAACGTCAAATAATTCATCCCGAAAAAATGCGTTTCTATGCTCTCAAGTCGAAACAAAGTCTGATTATAAACTATTATCATTGGATTTCAATTTCCTATGGCATATTATGAACTAAAGAACTGTATTCATTTCTCTACTCAAGTGGGAAACTTTTCGAAGATAATGTTCTGTCGATGAATCCATACATGATTGATTATATGAGCAGAACAATACAAGTGCATGTTTGTTTTACTATCGACAAAATACGCATAATTGTGTGGAGTACGGTCTTCGTCTGATCGAATTAATCATTATTTCAGCACGTTCATGAGAAATAGAGCATTGCTTTTCGTGTATATCCACATCCTCTGTTTCATAATAAGAATGAAATCTTCATCTGCATTTCAAAAAGGTTTAATTGATAGTTGTTAAAAATAAAAAGATGATGATGATCGCAAAATTATTTGAATATTTTGTTTTTTCTGGATTGATTTGAATTCATTGGATATCTCATCTGAAACTGCATTTCCACCGAAATGGATCGTTTTTAATGCCTAGACAAAACGAAATTGAATCAGCAATGAACAATACAAAGACTCGCGTACTTTATTCATTTTTACGGCATCAATAAAATACAACACTCCTTGATATCCAATACTATTATCACTAAAATCGATAGTTGTCAACGCCTATGCAGAGAATCGAAAGTATAGATATTGAAAAAAAGACTTGAATTATACCGTGTTGTTTCGTAAAACATCGCTAGAATATTGTATTCCGACATCTCCGATTTCATTATTCGCAAGAAGTAATTTGGTAAGTGTCTGTACATACGCACAAAAAGAATTCAAAAAACGAATCATGGTGGAAGTTACTTTATTTTCTTGTAACAAATTACTGAAATACTTTATACCTTCGATTTCGATCAAACTATTCGATAGATTCAAATGTGTGAGTGTCTATACGAAAATAAGTAGAAAAGGGAAAAGTAAACAATCAACGAAAGAATTTACATTATTGAATTCCAATGCAGTTGCAAGATGTTGTGCTCCTCGAGCATTGATTTGATTGTGACTGAGATCCAGTTTAATCAATGTCTATATGAAGATAGTTGAACAAAATAAAACACTCCACAATTCCGCACTTTATTGTATCTGAGTACATCAGAAAGAATTTGAACTCCATAAATGGTTATTTGATTGTTGGAAATAATTAATGTGGTTAAACTCTGCATATATATCAAATAAAATGAATTCAAATGAACAACAAAAGTACCGTCTCCGGATTTTGCAAAATATCAACAAGAATTTCCGTTCCTTTGTCACCGATTTGATTAGAACCAAGATTTAATTCAACAAATGTCTGTTAGAGAAAAATAAAAGGAAAGATTATGATAAAAGAACAAAATTACTTTGACGTGTCGCAAAGTTGTTAGCAGATATTTCAGTGCAAAATGACCGATTTGGTTTCCGTTGATGTTTAACGACGTAAATGTCTATATTTAGAAATAAAATCAATGTTTTTATTCGAGATAACTAAGGTAATTAATGATCTATCATTTAGATGAAGCGATATAAGAGTGTAAGAAGAGAAAAAAATGTATTTCTTACTGTATGCTGTTCTAAACTTTCAAGAAGATATTGAAATCCTAAATCTCCAATTTGATTTTTGCTAAGATTTAATATCTTCAATGTCTAATTAGACATAAATCGATTTCAAAAAAAGAAAAGCAACCATTTCAATCAAATTACTTTATTATGTCTCAAAGCATTAGCAAGATATTGAACTTCGGTATCTTTGATGCCCTTATTTGATAAATCCAATACAGAAAATGTCTAAATTTAAGAGAAAAGTAGCTTACAATGTGGAAAAGATATTCAAATGATATACATCGCCATATGCTAAAGCAACCGCAATATCGTGTAATCGGTTATCACAATTACCATTGCATACGAAATCCAATAACGATGGTGTCTGAAAATAAAAATAAATGATTAAGATCGTTAAGAGAATTTATGATTGATACCTCGTCTTTAGTCCTATGATCAAAAAATTTGTAGGACAATTGACAAATATTGTCTTTGATCGAGATTTTACATCTTTCTGGTCCACTTTCTTTATATTGCCGGCAATCTGATGATCTTATGGCTTTATCTAATGGAGAGGCGCGTGGATAGGGATTATTTTGAAATACTGATCTTCTTTGACGAGATGGCATTTTGCTAAATCTATTTCCTAGTTTATACAGAACATGACGAATATAGTCAATATAATCTTCATTGACAGGTAGAATTGGTGTTGTATATAAGACAATTGAATCATAAGAGTATATATGTTCACAAGTAACATACCAATGTTTTTCCTCGAGCCAAAATGGTGTTTGAAATGGAGTTATTATTGGTTTCGTATTTATCAACAAATGTTCTGGTATCTTGAGATGCAGATAACAATAGGAAAAGAAAAATCTAAAGTCATTTAGCAGCGGTAATCTGGTTTTGAGAATTTGCGCTAAATGATGGCCATCTAGTGGAGAATCAAATACGCAGCCATTAAAGATTAGTTCCAAATGATTAAGTATTGGTGTTAGTGAAAATAAAGATTCTAATTCTTCTAAAAATGCCGAACACTTTTTCATAGTAAGTGATTTTAATAATGAAGTATGCGATTGGGACAATTCATTGATTTTGTCTTGGTAATTTTCATCCAGAAGACAATCTTTTATGATCAATGTTCGTAAATGAGGCATTTCATGAATAAAACTAACATATTCAGCAAAACGACACAAACCGACCTCCAAATATACTAATTGGTCGGTGATTGGCCCTGAAATATGTTCTTTATAACTTTGTATATCTGCACCATTCATAGCGAACTTTCGAAGATTGCATTGAAGCATTCTTAATTGTTGAAGATCATATGTTTCTTCACTCTCTGTATAGATTGACAGAGAAGTTAAATGATCAGTTGGAATTCTTTTAACGATACTCTCTACTGTTTCACAATCAACATGATAAAAAGTCAATGAACGAAGTCGCATAAATTGATTAAACCTATCAGGCATTTTCCATTTATCGCTAAAGAAATATTCTTTATATGGATCACCGAAAATAAATAGTGAAGTGAATCTGTCAAGTTGAATCGCATGAGCAAGATTTTCCAAATTCCAGTTTGAAGCTATAGGATATTTTAATTCAAATCGATTGTAAATATTAACACTATTGTAAAATTTTCTGCAAACACAACGAATTGAACGAAGAATTGTTTGAGTATCGCAATAATCAAAAATATGATGTAATAATTTGGGGGACAAATCGAATAAAGACGGGAAAACCTGGAAAGTCGGGCGATTGCATATGTGTTTCGCGTCATTCAATGCACATGTGTCTTCCATTGTATGGTTTGGAGTAAAGTGTTCTTCTTCGATACTCTTCAGAAAGAAATCATATATTTGCATATTTGAATAAGAGCAGACTGGGCTTTTTCTCTTCTGCAACAATAAACAGGTAAAACGAAAACATTTGAGAATTTCTTTTTTACCAACTTAAAAAAGGAAAAAACCAAAAAAAAAAGTAAAGCACTCAATTCGAATTACCTTCTGTATGTCGCCGTTCTTTTCCGTTTTCCTTCTTCTTTTATCAAATGCATTTATATATTCGTATGCATCAAACAATGGTCGAAGATACAGGAACGAATACTCGAGTGGGTTGCTTGAGAATTTTTTTCCTTCACTACACATCCCTCATGCACGTCCAATTGTGTGGACAGAACAATTCAAGAGCATGTTTTATTTACTATTAACAAAATACATCCATCATATGGAACATAAATGGTGTTCGTTTGATTGAATTAACCATCATTTCATCGAGCTCTTCCTCGGCATAGTTTTTCCCCTTGCAGGTACATTTTAATTTCGTTTCCATTGTTGGCAAAATATCGAGAAAAAATTTCCAAGGTTGTCGAATTCCCGAAATGGTTATGGTTTACCTTTTTCTCTCTTGAAATTTGTTTTACTTATGTAAACTAAGTAGTGTTTATGTTTCTTTTTTGTTGTGTAAAATTGTCTTCTCGCATCAGTGGAAAGAGCCAACTATGATCTCGAGTCGTTACTCATCGATGACTTCACGTCGGGAGAAACTCAGATATAAAAGAATGTTTTTCAACTACAAGCATTATTTACAATTCAAGCAATGACTGAAGTGGTAAGTGGGACGACTTTCGGGGTTTGCGAGTCATTGTTTCTTTTCTTTTTAGCCCAAACCATTACGCGATCGATCGAAACCAGAAGATGCTGCATCGAAACGTGCTAAAATCATGGCACAAATTCAAGGCGACTATCTATGTCATGGTAAACATCGAGTGACCAGAGCGAATCATAAAAATGTAATGCTAATTGGAAGAACACGAACAGGAAAATCTTGTATCAAAATGTTACTAACGGATCCAACCAAAGTACCGGATGAATTAACTCTTAAATCTGGTACCAGAGAACCTCTCTTCGAATCGTTTCATGCTCATGACAACAAAATGGTGCTTAATATCATCGATACACCTGGCTTGTTCGAACGTGGCACATCTGAAATCGATATTCGAGACAATGAGACAATCATGCGAACAATTCAATTTTGTATCAATATGGAAATTACAAAGTTTCATGTGATTTGTTTTTGCATAGCTATTACTAATGGTATCAATGCAGAGGACATAAAATCTCTTGAATTGTTGATCGAATTTCTCGGCCCTGAATTAGCAAATAATTCGTGTTTGATTATAACCCACTGTGAATCGAAAGCCGTAGATCAACTTGAAACATACAAACAAGAACTTTTACAAGATCATTTTTTCAGAAGCATCGCATCGTATTTCAAACTGGGCATTTTCTTTTCTGGTTCACTCAATCGAGACGATTACAACAATGGCAATGAAAGTCTCATAGACCAATATGTTACAATATCTGCATATCGCGAACGACTCATCGAGCTATTCACATGTCTAAGCGTCGAACCATTTCCAATTTGTCAAATGCTGATGAATCAAATCTCGAGTACTCATGACGAATTGATCAAGAAACAATTGGATACGGCTAAAGAAAAGAATGAAGAACAACAACAGATCATCAGCCAATTGCTGGATGTGCAAGACTCAAATCGAACTGAGATTCGTGATCTTTTAGAACGCTTTCGTGAATCAGTTGTACAAGGAGAAAAGGCGCAAGTAGAAATTCAAAATCAACAACATCGCTGCGAAAAATTACTTCTCGAATGTGGCACGAATATGACTGATAAACATTTGATGAACAGTTCGCAGGAAAAATAAGAAGAGTAACTAAATTTTTCCAAAGATTTTATTTGATTGTGTTGCTCTTTTTTCTTCAGATACATTTCATTATTCATGAGAGTATAAAAATGGGTGAGACTGTGACTTGTGGTAATTATTTTAATATACACCCGTGAAGGTATTAAAAAGACCAAAACAAGTTTCGTGCTATGAAGAAAAGTAAACAGAATTAATTGAAACAAACAAAATTTTCCGTTGATATAAGAAATGCAACTGATTAATTATACAAAAGATATCAATAAAATGTGCTCTTTTCATTATAAAATAAAAGTATAGCGACTGAAACTCGACTAAACAGTACTTGCATTTTCGAATAATTTGAAATTGAAAATGCGTACGACATTCTTAGTGATTGGACTAATCATTGGAAGACTCTGTTCTGGAATTATCTTAACAACAATGATTACTTTAGTTGTTCGAGGTAATGTTGTTTCAAACATTAAGAAGAAGAAATCTATTTCATCTGATTTGTAGATAAACAAATCAAAGCAATGAAAGATTTAGAAACCACTTTGATCAGTACGGTTAATATTACCACAACGTCAAGTTCGACTAGTACAACAGCTGTATTACGTAAAAGTCTCTGATCAATTATCATTGATTTAACTTTCTCCGATTCTGTAGAAGTGCCAGTTTATTGGAAATTTGATAGCGATTTACAAGATTTTATAATAATTTCAATGGAATCGGTAACAACGGATCGACATATAAATGTTCAACCTATAACAGAATAGGTACATGTCTTGAATTGAATCAATCGTCAGTAGCTGTTAGCAATCCACCCTTGTTAAATCTGGCGAATATATATGGAGACTCATTTTATTATAAAAGTTCTTATACAGATAATTATATTCTTGATCAATTTACGTCAATGGATATTTGGATGTATCACGAAGTAGCGCCTGGCCACATTTAGGTTCTTCCAGGTACGAAAACGTTCTTTCAATTTCTTCAAATTACTTTCAGCTTTTCACTTAGGGATTTGACTATTGGTACAGGGATTATCAATAGTTCAAATAATTATTTCAATGATTGTTTAGATTCTATTCAATATTATCCGATGCAACTCTTTTTGACAGTGGACCATTATCAATCAATGAAACAGGAGTCAACTCTACCTACACGTCGATGGGACGAGTGAACCAAGCCATTTCGTTTCCAGTTCTATCGTCTTACATCCAAATAACTGGATTAACGCGTTTAGGAACAAAAGCCGGTAGTATTCCAATAACATTAACAATTACAAGTTCATTACTTGGACTTGGTGTTTGTAATACAGGTACAATACAAATGGGACAATTTTATGGTTCGGTTGATGAACTTCGAGTTTACGCACGAGAATTTTCATCATTAGAAGTATTTGCATTTGTTAATCCATAATTAATAAAAGTGTCCCTTCCCTAATTCTATCACCCTTTTTCTTAATCCTTTATTAATAAACGTAAACAAAATGTACTTCTGAAGTATTCGGAAATTTATTAAGGTGAACTAATCCATCTACATAGAATCATTATGAAATATTTTCTGATAAAGTTTGTAGTTTATGAAGTCTCATCAGATTGGATTTCTCGGTGCATTTTCGCTTCAAAAGCGGTACTTGCAGCACTTAGTCTCTCAAGAGCTGTATCAAGTAGATGTGCATGTCGATGTATAGGTATGTCTGATGCTTCTTCTAAAAGCAGTTCTGCTTGTTCTAGATTTTCCGCATCGTTTTTGAACTTTTTTAACTTGGTGATTATAACATTTGCATTTTCCAATGCTGTGTTCACAAACTTCATAAATTCAGCAAGAATTCGTAAATTACGCTCGTGTTTTGTAATATCACGCTTATTGCTACCAAATATGTGATTCCAAAACCAATCATTTTTTAATTCATCGATTTTTGTCAAAGAAATATATTCTCCATGTAAATTTAACTCTTGAATAGTTTCTAGTTTAGCCTTAATACCTTCCAATATTGCAGACGTTCGTTGAGCATCGTGTAATATACGAGTAATTTGTGAAGATACTGAAGATAAATATTGCTCATACGATTTAATTAGCTTACGTGCCATACTGCTTTTTGATTGATCTGATTTTTGTTGGCTGGTAGCTTGAGAAAACTCTTCTAACGCAAATTTCGTATACATTCGCAATTTATCCAATGTAGACGTAAATGAAACCAATAAACTAGTTGATTTATCTGCGCCATCTTGTATGAGATCTTTTAACTGATGCATTTGATCTCCCAGTTCATTTTTGACTTTCTCATCAATATCACTGTATAAAATGCGCATGCGTAGTTCAATCAACGAAATTTTAGCTTGAACGAAGCGCGATGGTGCCTTCACATCGGCAGTTATCAAACTATCAGCCAATATGACACTTCTCTCAGCTAATTTACTGACCGATGGAATGGGTAAAACGGGACAAAACGTATCCAGCATCGGTAGGGCATGATCATATTGACAAACACCTTTTGTGTAAATATAGTAACACGATAGTGATATCAATATTACAGCAAACATTTGTCTGAAAAAAAAAAACACTAGAGCGATTGGTACCGCTTTCCATTTGTCGTACATCTGAAGTGGAATTAGTTGTTGAAACAGATACCAAACGAATAGTATTATTCATTTGCCTAATTTCAGTAATCTGCAACGAATCTTCGTCTTTTTGGCTTATACGATAATTGAGGATGTTAAGGAAATAGGTATTGGACGATAGTTGGAACTGTTTGATGAGTGTGTTCCGACATTTAGCGATAGTCTCTGAATCTTGAATCTGTAAACTGCCGAATTCTTTACCATCAACATCAACGTGGATCCATCGTAACATATCAGTAGATTCTTTTTCTGTGGTCATTCTTTAGTCAAATCTACAGCAATTTTTCGGTGTCTAAATAGAAACTATTTTACAAAACGCGTTGTTTTTATCTTATCAGTGAAAGTTCAGATAAACAGATATAATAACAAAAAAAACGAAACTTTACACGATAAGTAAAATGCTTTCGAAAAACCGAGATCGCGGATGTTTATATTCACGTATAAGTCAATTAATGGCGGCCAGAGAACGAAGTGCATTCAACGAGTTTTCAATCATGCGTATCTCCGGTTGACCTAATGCGTAAGTATGTTGAGCGATTTTCAGCGCCTTCTCCGCTTGAGTTAATGCTTCTTCATATTTCTGAAGTTAATCTAAAGCTGCAGCCACATTGTTGTGAGCGGTCGCGATACGAAAATCATTGACAGAATATGCTTTTTGACAGATATACAAGGATTTGTTGGCATATTCGAGAGCTAGCTCATAATCATTCATCAACAGACAAATATCAAATAGATGACCATAGGTTGTCGCTAGATCAGAATGTGTCAATGGCAGAGTATTCAACCGGATGTCCAACGCACGTTTGACATTCTCACGTGGTTCTTCTAATCGCCCAAGTTGTCGTAGAAGATCACTCATATTCATATAACGTGATGCAATCTTGTTTTGATCAGGTGACGAACATGCCAGTTCGATCGTTAGCGCACGTTGATAATGTTCCATTGCCAAATCGAAGTCAATTGATTTTCGATAATATTCAAGAGATTTGCCCAAATCACCCTTCTCTTCGTAAATCCAACCGACATTGTGTGAGATATACGATAGCTCATTGCCATTCCTACCCTCTCCATTCACAAGCATAGTTTCAAAGACGTCCCTGGCCGTATCCCATTTACGTACGGTCATCATAAACGATGCTAAACGATGTATAGCATTTGGACCACAAATTTGGTTACGCATGTAATCCGTTAATTTGCATAACTGCAGATCAGTATCTTTCGTTAATTGTAACTGAATATTCCATATGCGATCATGCATATGTTCAATGTCATTAATTCGAAAGACTGAATGCATTGAAAAGAGAACTTCGTTTTCTGTTGAACAATAACTAACTTCACGTAATGATCCATATGGAATGGATCGAATTGCTGGATCTACTTGAATTTCAAACAGGATCGATACGAGACCTTCTGTGTTCAAGGAACGTCGCGCAAATCGAAGTGAAATATCACGACTCGTACTTGTCGAAAGGAAGTTATTGAATGAAAGAAGACCACCTGTGCTTTTTTTCAATTGTTTGAATTCATCTATGAACATTCTACATGGATAAAATACAACTCCGGCATCCAACGATATTCTGTTAACGACTTACCCTTGACCGCGATACAGAATCTGTGGCGTGTCCGTGATCGGATTTGCAATGAACTTGCTCAATCTGTCGATGAAGATCGCGTATGAAGAACCCTATTTGATATGATATATCAAAATTTTCTGTTCGGAGAGCTTTATTAAGCATTTTATAGAGGAAGCATTCTCTTTTATACCACCATGCCGGAGAATGTCATTCGTAATCATGTTCAAATTGATCGATGATACCCAATTCTCGTTCATTATCAATGTACTGTTCACGGCAAAGCTGAAGAAACGCTCGCCGAGCTTGTTCGTTATCATTGGATTCCAATAGAATTTCTTTGAGTATTTGAGAATACATAAGTGATGGGTCGAGTGTATTCAAATCTGCAGTAGATACAGCTTGTGAACTTAAAATACTTACTGGTATTGCCGTTTCTTCGACAAGATGAATATCTTCATGAAATTGATCATAAACAGACTCAAAATTTCAAAACAGGCCTCTCGACTTCATATAGGATGCGTTGTATTCGCCAGTATTGGAGTCGAGCACATAAAATGAATGGAATTGTCGGAAATTATGTACCTCTGGCAGAACTTCTGGAATGAAAAAATCCGAAATAACAAGAATAACGTTTTCATTCACCGCTTGTTGAATATAATCTATACAATCATTCGATTGAGGAAATATTTTGAGCGTATTTGTAGGTGGAACAAGTTGATTTATTTCTGATTTTGTTCCGACTTGATTAGATTCAAAAAGCCAGACAACGATATAATCATTCATAGTTGTTCTCCAACGTATTTCTTGTGCCATAGATGTGTCGTCGACGATGTTTTTTTCTTTTCTGATGTAAAAAAAACAATATATATGTTAACTTAGTTCTTTTTTATTTTTTCTTCTACTTATGCTATCGGACTTTCATGTGTCAACTTTTCTCTGACTATAGTTAATGCTCCTCCTTTTTTAAATTTTGATTGCAAAGTATGTTACGAAGTGAACTATACTTTCTTTTTTTCTTCTTCTATTGTGACGCCATGAACGTATATGTTTCTTTTGTTCTTGAAACATTCCCATACGGATCATCTATCCAGGTGATCTGGACATGGGCCATCTCAAATAAAACATTTCCATAGACTCATCGGTTTCTTTCTTTCGATTGTATAAATGTACGACGTTTTTCACAAATTAAGTAACATGATAAGCGACAAGAGAGCATTCTAAGTGACTATGTGCAAGAAAAAAGTCACAGCGTCCCAGACAGACAAGCAATGGAAAATAAGGCGTTTCTAAGCGTAAAAAAATGTGCGTTTGTTACATTTGAGAAAAGAATCCGTTTTTGTAGGAAACGCGCATATTTGATACCAATAAATTATGTCAACATCAGTTTTCTTTCAGAAAAAATACTTTCTTCAAGTGTAAAAAGCGCCCATTTTTACCTTTAGAAACGACATATTTTTCAATGCTTGTCTGCTTGGGATAAGCTAGAAAAGGAAAACAAATAAGCTACTGAGCAGCCAAGAGATTAGGATGATCGAATGTTCCGATCAAGAGTTCTTATTCTTATGAAACAATCTCATAAGATTCGTGCAAAAGTGTCGATAAATTCTGTAGAATTTTCCAAAAACGCTTATCCACTTTCGATCAGAAAAGACAAAATTAATAAACATTAAAAGGACGTTGCACCTCTATAAGGTTTCAATACTGGGACACCTCTGAATTGTTGTTATGATTAGTTCGATGTTTAACTTTTGATTTGTTGTTGCTTTTCGTCTATATGATTGATTTCTCACAATATTTTGAAAGATATCAATAAACATTGTAAAGGTTATGATAAATTTCTCGGTAGACATTATTGTAAGCAAATATTCATGCATCCAATTTCGATTAAAATCAGTTTTTACAATAAAAAATAACTCCTTCATGAATCCTCCGTTTTTGCGGCGTATTCTCCAAAGAATTTCGATTAAATCCTTCGTCGTTCTCTTTTTTTACAAATCAGCGTTAACATGACAGATTTTGGCGCATATTTGAGAATCTCGAACAACTTAAATCTTGTGTAAATCAATGCAATACTTTGTTTTTAATCAAACATTTATCTAGATTGACATACTTAGAGAGTTATCAATGCTCGAAGAGTTACCGAATACCTTGAATTAAAGAAGCAGAAAAACTTGATTTAATCATAACTGCTAATTTTGATGATGATGATAATGACCCTGAGAGTTTATCTATTTGAATCAATCGAAATTGAATGTTATTCTTAGTTTTAAACAAGAAATGTTCTACGGACAATATAACAAAAAGTTTTTCGATTCCATTGTTTTTATTTTCATTCTTTTAAGTTTGATGAAAAAACAACCTTATGAACATTCATCTATCAAAATAGACTTTTCGTTTAATCTCGATTTTTCAGTAGATCAAGGTGAAAATACTTGATTAAGAAAATAGAGAATAAATTAAATGAAATAACACAAGATGATAAAAGCACTGTTTATTAAGATTGATATAATTTATGAACTTTCAGTATAGTAGTTGTTGTATGAAAATATTGAACTTGTAGTAACTATCCATACATCTGTTGTTTGATTGTATAATTCAACACTATCTAATGGTGTAGCAGAACTATGGATCCACCACAGACTAAAACATTGTCATCGATTAATACTAATGATGTATATGTGGCGCGGCAATTAAAATACTTTCAGTGTAGTTCCATATTCCTGTTCCATGATTATATAACTCTGCACTATTTAAATAAGAACTATGCTATGGTTTTGCAGCGAAATCATTTACTTTAAAAACAAAATAATTTGTAATGAGAAAAATAATATCACTGTATACTCTCACTAGAATCGAATTCGCTCATTCAACTGATATTGTAATACAATGATCAACCGTATCGTAATGCGATATGGGTAAAGAGAACGCGCTGTTACGCTACTCTATGACTATTAGTTCTGTAGTTTTCGACATTTCACATGGATAGAAATAGCCGTAGAGGAAGAATATCAAGTTGTTTTCATTAGTTTTGGCGAAGGTAAATTAGCTGCTTGATTTTATCGAGCCATGTAGGTAAATGAATTTGCCACAAAATCAAATTCCCCACGAGCTCACTATGGTAGTGTGTCTATAGACATATTGATATTCTATACTGAAAATCAACGAATTGTTTTGTCAAGACCATTGTTTTTCTTGTAATCAGAATGTAAACAGAATGGCAAAATCATGATTATCATTTCTGTGATATCACCATAAGAATATGACGCACGTTGAGGTTAAGAAAGAAGGCGTAGTGAATGCTAAAACGTCCAAACTCACATAATTTGCTATTGTCAGCAAAAACAACAATCTCGACATATTATTAACCAACAGATTCTCTTCTATTCAAACAGAACAGTGAAATCACGTTATTTCACAATCTACAAATTGTTATCACGATGTCTCAAATGAAATCCTGCTCCAATGGTTTCAACATCTTAGCATCCTTGATATTTTTCATTCATTTGATCAATTGAATCATCGTATCAATGGTCTCATACGAAAGACTCCATTCAGTTTAAATCTAGAAAATATTCGAAATAATTCTCGATGCGAACAATTTTGCATGAAAATGTCCACTGATTCAACGATCAGAAATCAACTTTATTCATTACATTTATCCAATGAAAACACTTGTTATCCAATTCATTTGTTTCTCTCAACATTTTCTTTTTTGAACTTTCCTTGTCTTCATCTGTTAACGTTACACGAACTGACAGAAGAGAATTAAAAATCGATCCCTTCACATCAAATAATAATAATGAAAATAAAATGAATGACCAATCAAAATAGCATTTGTTCTCTTGTTTTTCAAGGCATTTACAAAATACTGTATTGTACTACTTTAGCATCCATACGAAGGCCAAAAACTCGATAGAAGTAACTGTGTATATCATGTAATCAGAACAAAATAAATACGAATAAAAGCTAACACAACTGTAATTCATTTGCAAAACTTGATATAACTTAAAAGTGAATGTTCTTGCGACACAGTTTTAAAGTATTAGGTATCTGTCATATATTCACAATTATAATTAGATATCTTTTCATAAAGATGAGGCCGAAATGCGTAAAGAACTGTGCTTGAATTCGAATGTACTATAGAATTATGGTATTGGTCATGTTAATCAAGCGAATGGAGATTATCAAACAGCTCTTTTTCATTGCAGAAAAGCAGAGATAATATATCGAAGATATACGTGACCTGAAAATCCGAATTTCATTCGTGTTCTTCTGCGTTTTGCTGAAATACAAAAAACTAGCCCAATCAATAAATCGCTTTTGCACAAGGCATATCTGATGTTAGCAGATATCTATATACTTCAAGAAAATGTACTTGCAGCACTCTACATATGAAAAAGGATTTGTAATTGAAGTTGACGATGAAATTGAATATTATGCTTATACTATGTTGGTTATTGCTTATTGATGTTAAATTGTACATTGGAATACGAGGAGAATTTCAACAAGCTCTGACTATGCAGATGAATACATTGATTATTTTTCAAAACTATGATTATTATCAGTTATTTTATTTCATAGAAAGATTATTCAAACTTTGTGATAACGATTATCAAAATCCTGCCGGTTTCTTTAATCAAGATCTTTATATGAAAGTTATTGTCAACACACCGGCTGCGTCACTGAAGTTCTTCAAAAGAAAAATGAATTACACTTCCATTTGCATGAACAAAGAAATGTAATTACGTATTATTACAAAATATATTTATGAAATGGCAAGGAGTCTCTACAGAAAACTCACCGCAGCTGCAAATATCGATTCAAATGTGAACGAATTGATTAGCTTAGCCGATAAAATCGATTCTGATGTTTTTCATTTGACAACTCACTTAGCTTCGAGAACTTTCTCCTTATTGTGGACTTGATAATAGTATTTAAGGAATGAAATTTTAGCACTTATAGATCGTAAACTTATATTCGAGAGTAAGAGGGTAGTTGGTGTTGAGTTGAGCATACTCCCCAACTCAACGGAAAAAAGATCAGTGTTGTTTGAACAAATGAAGTCTCATGAGTAAAGATTGTCATTGTCGAGCACATGAAGTCTTGTCAAATGTGAACATCTGAACTCGTTCACTATAATTGTCTATCACATAGAGATTTCCCAAGCGATCGAAGGTAAGGTTAACAGGATAACGTAATTGACCTTGCTCTCCGGTAATGATCGTTGGCGCCCCACCATCTGAAGGTACACGTACGATTCGACTGTTCACCGTGTCGGTTATGTATAATGTGCCAAGCCGATCAACAAGAATACCATATGGATTCCAAAACTGATTTGTTCCGTTTCCTTTTCCGTTGCCGCCAGCTATAATAATACTTGATGTGGCATTCACTGACAACTTCATCACTTTATCACCCACGTAATTTGCCCAATAGATAGCCCCGTTGCTGTCAACCGCAATGGTACTAACTAAATAGTAGAGCAAGGATTAGCAAAAACAGTTGATCAAACGTATGTTTTGTCACTTACTATCTTCAGTTTTGGGGATAACGAGCACTGCATTTGTTCCATCTCTGTCATACTTGAAAACGCCTTTCTCCGTATCTACGACGTAAATATGTTCTCGTTTTGCATCAAAAGCAATACCACTAAGTATTCCCGCAGAAGAAATGATAGTTTCTCCTACAGTAGCTCCTTTTGTCCAACGTGTCACCTGCTTGTCATCAGTTACATAAAAGGTTTCCTCATCATCAACAACTAAACCGTGAGGCAAACCGGGCCGAGCCAAGATCTTACCAAATGTCGCACCTGTCTGCCATTCTATAACTGCCGAACGGAAAGGATCCGTGTAGAAGACAGTATTGTTCGAATTGACATACAAGCCAGATGGACCAATTAGACTATTTCCCGTATTAGGATTTCGTCCTGCCACCACTGTGCCTTCTCGAGACCAGGTTGCAGTAGAGCAAGGCGTAACTAAAAAGGCTTCGGCACTCGTAGTAGTGGTTGTAGGAGGCTCATCTAAATACACAATCAAACCTTAGTTTTTTGAATGGATAACAGCAACTTCTTACAAGTTCCTCCACATCCAATTCCGACATGCATATCATTTGTGCAATTGAAATTATCTAAGACAAAGTCCCATGGAACGACGAAAGGATCATTGTTATATTGAAAGTAACATTTATCATATAGATCATTTGGTGAAAACATCTGAAGTTTCTTCTTTTGAGAACGGCAAGCAGCTTGTGCTGCATTTCGATCGAACCCATGATGACAAACCATATACCTTCAACAGTGCATGAAATTATGTTTCGATGTCGGCGACGATTGAGACATCAATTCCAAATCGATTTTCAGACGAAGAGGAAAATCTTTCGTAACTTGAATGCTGATGATTTTCCGTTGATAGGTAAGAAGAGCATGAATGTTACTACAGGCTTTATCGATTGATTTCATCATATGATTAAAACCAGCTTCATCTCCGATCCCATGAGTATTGGAAAGAGAAAGTAAAACAGTAATGAAAATCAAAAACAGATGCATTCTTAACAATAGAGTGAGAACCGAAATAACGCATACACAAAGTTTATGTCAGTTTTTATACACATAGACACTTTTGTTTTATAATCTTATCAGCTCTTTCAAAAAGGAACTGAAATATGACGATACAAAAACAGATATTTTTTATCATAGTTGCTCTTGAAAAATTTTCTTTTTATGATCACTACAATTCACTTCCTTTCATAAAAAAAAACTGATAACAAAATCATAAGAAAACTCTTATCACTGACATTCATATTATAACGAAAACAACATGAATCAGCAACTATTTAGTTTCCTCTTCGAAGAATTGGTAATAATTATTATACATGAGGCTAAAAGTTATTTTTCTGTAATCAAGTTAGCGTTCCTCGCGAACGAGACAGAAAAGTATATTTCGTATATATCGTCATTATTTTTATAACGCTGCTTCGTCTGTTGTCACACAGAAAATAAAACTAACTGAACAAGACATACATCGAGATATTGGACGCTGTGCTTGATCCATGTTTTCGAATTTATCGTATCATTCTGTTTACCGAGACAAAAATTGCGATCTTTCTACGGACACATGTTGCAATCGGAAGGGCAAAGAGAAATTGACAGAGAAAGAACATAGCGCACAATATGAGAAGCGCCTTGATTACAACAAACAAAGATAATAATAATCAGACTAACTGATATTGCGTTGACAATCTCATAATTAGGGAAAAGATTTTACGAATGTTGGAACTTTTCAATGAAACAACAGAAAAAGCGTTTATGTATGTCCGATGCAAGATAATGTTAGCAGCAATCGCATGAATTAAGTAGGATTATTATTGTATTATTGTAAGTATCGACGAGAGCAATGTCTCGTTTGCCATCATTATTGAAATCTCCTGCATCAAAGCAGCACGCAATACTATGTTTTGTTAACGAGAACGTGATCTGCTGTAGGAAAGTCCCATTACCAATGCCTGTCAATATGCCAATGTTATGTCTATTCGTATCTGCAACAACAATATCGGATTGATAATCATTGTTAAAGTCACCGACACTGATCCATCGAGGACTACTATAGCCCCCAATTGTGTATGTCGTGGGATTTTGAAAAGTTCCGTCGCCGTTACCAAGATAAACATTGATAATATTTTTGTGATCATTTGCAACAGCCAAATCGAAGTAATCATCATGATTAAAGTCATCAACAGCAATAGAGGCAGGACAACTATACTGTCCTGTCGGTAGCATCACTGGTGTGCTATAGTATCCGTAGTCTGTGCCAAAACATATAAATACACCGTTACAGTAACCATAAATTCCAGCGAGATCTAATATTCCATCGCGGTTAAAATCACTTGCAATTATTTGAGCAACATTACTAATTGACAAGTGGTTTAATGCTGAAAAAGTACCATCACCGTTACCAAAGAGGATAACCATATTTTCCCAACTGTAACCGGCAGTAATCAGGTCTTGTTTGCCATCTTTATTAAAATCTTCACCTAGAAGTGAAAACGGTTCACAGTAAGGCGCAGTCGAGAATATGATTTGCTCTCCGAAGCTTCCATTGCCCAAGTTAAGAAATACACCTATACTACTATTGTCCGTACACGCTGTAGCAATATCTAGATGTCCATCGTCGTTAAAGTCATTAAGAATAACTGAGTGTGGACTGCTGCCCGATCCAGTGGACAATGTCATTTGTGATTGGAAAGTTCCATTAATATCACCAAATAAGATACGTATATTATCGGCTTGGAAGTTTGCAACTGCAACATCTCGGTATGCATCACCGTTCAAATTTCCGACTGCAATTCCCGTTGGATATGCGTTAGAGCCCATAAAGTACGACTTTGCAGGTTGAAATGTTAACTGACAAGGTGTAGCTGGAGAAAAATATCGAGAATCCTACTGTTTTCTGTATTACATATATCTACCTGATGAAGTGGCAGCTGACGTTACTATTGTTGACATATCAGCCATTATCGTGCTGATCGTGTCTAAACAAAGAGAACATATTTTAAACACGATTAGATAAAATAAAAAGATACATAGAATTCATCATACTTAGCTTATTTTACTGAAATATACAGAACAAATTTAAAAACATACTTTGTTGAGAAATCTGATTATCTTCTTTTGCATGAAGATAAATGATTGGTCCGAGAAAACCTAAACCGATAAACAGTAGCAGTAAAATAGCAAAGAATACGAATCGTAGCAGTGTTAAAGAAAGTTTTGATTCTGGCTGGACACTGCCATTAGAAAAATAGATCGAAGTATTTATTCCATTGTCTGTTTCGGTAGTTGCTTTGACGATATTTGATCGTTTCTTTCGATACTGATACGCTTGAAATATTACATAGATCATTGTGGGACATATCCATTTGAGAACAACGCTCAGTCCACCATAGAGTCCCAGGAGAAAGGTTTTTGTATAAAGTGAATTAACTTGTTCAGTAGAAGTATAAGAACAATAAGCAGGTGCACAAATATCAAAATATACTGGGTAGTTGATGATTGTTGACCAATTTTCAATGAAAAGATCATTGGAAAAATCTTGTATGGTTGTATTTATCAAGAACCGACTTTGATCTGTCGAATTAAGTGCAACCATAGATGCAGTATTTGTGTAGTTAATATGTTGTTCAATGAGATTGATACATGATAAATTATATAAACATTGAAGATTCGATGCAAAAAATGATTCTGATGGTATGCAACCCATTCTAAAACCTTCAACCGATATCTTTTCTGACGAATTGACGTTAAAAAACTTGGCTGTAGTTGTGCAATTTGTATTAAATGCACACGAACAGTTATTGTCATAGTTGATGGGAACGGTGTATGCCACAGTCCACCCACCTAAGATATACATATTTAGAAGTGACATTTTAGCTTTAACTCCGCTTCGAAAACTGCGTAATTTAAAGTAGGTGATTCATGATGACTGTTTTAATCACCACTGACAAGCGCTGTACTCTCAAAATATCCGTCTTGGGTTAAAGATGAAGACAAACATAATCATCTTCTAGCAATCGAGTTGGAAAGTGATGAATTTTCCGATAAAAAGATGGTCAACTGATGTAGGATTGGCAAATCAGCTTTCAAAAAAGTAAAACCTTTCAAATTGAGTAGATACTTTAACTTTGAGTTTTACAGCAAAGTTAAAGTGTTACTCGTATATCTTTTTAAATACTTTTGTATGATACACCGTACATATAAAGGACCAACATACCATATATCGTAAACCCACTGAACGGAGGAACGACATATTGATAGTTGGTTCCATATGTTGTTACAAATGCATTGCCACGATTGATGGATAATAGTAGGAAAATAAGACGAGTAAGTGTCTGTGGAGCTTGGGATTTACTTTGTTCAACCAATGAATTGATATATCCACTGAGATCTGGTTCTGATTGTAGCTGGGGTGTGATAAACGATGAGGAGAGAAATGTATTAATTGCTTCATTAACTGATCGCACAGAAACATCACATAAACCGTAAAGAAATTGAAAATGTGCGAAGAGAAATCGACGATAGTCGTGTATGTCATATATCGAAAGATCGGGAACGAAACCAGTTAAAATCTTTGTTCTCCATTCATCCGAAACGAATGGACTCGAGCAGACCTATGAATTATCAAATGTGTATCATGGATAAAAATCAGCGAGTCATATTCGACTTCAAATACCTGATGAAAAACTGGTTCTATTGAAACACATTGATTATATATTGATGAAATCGTCGAGCATGGACACTGAAGCGTATCATTATGATCACGCATGAGACGCTGATAGACGCTGAGCGATGGCTTAGGAAACGTTTTTGTTAGAATCCGAGGTTCCACAGCGGTATAGATGGTTAGTATTAAGAGACCAAAAATCAGAAGAACAATATAGAGCCGAGTTGCATATTGACCTAAATATTTTCTTCTGGCTGCATCGATGTCACTTGGGAAACGTCGTGGAGGAAACATGTTCATACTAAATATTTTTGTAAATAAAAACATAACCAATTTTCGCCATACTGTTATTGATTTTTGACGAAAAGTTGATTGAGTACCTAAGTACAAAAACCAGTTACAGATTTTCTTTTCCTAACATTCACTTCAGTATTGACTGATAAAGATACGAAAGTGATTTGTCATGTTTTCTTTTTAATTGCTCAAAACGACTTCTATTGATAGTTTCTTACTTACGTTGTCTTTGCTCTTCGATACGTGGTTGAATTAAGAAAAAAAAGAAGATCGCTTTGACAAGTTGAGGCGTGATAAAGTGTAATGCAGCCGTAAGACCACTGATTAAAGATATGAACGTTGTTATTATCGTCATGAAACTTCTCGTCGATTCTATTCGAGAATATGTACAATAGATAGGTGCACATTGTACATAATATTGATCAAACGATAAAGATATGCTCCACTGTTCCATCATCATTTTGTTAAATATAATTTCGAGTGAAGTCTCCGGAGCAAATTGAGTCGATTTTTCATCATAAACTAAGGGAAAAGCTTTGAACCATTCAACTCCTGTATCTGATTTCAACATTGTTTGATTAATATAATAATAAAACAACGATAAACAAAAGTTTGAATAAAAACATTCGAGTGTCGAAAGTTTGAGAGAGTCAAACACAAAACAGCCTACCGTCATGCCAGGTACTATATAAGGTTCGATCATGGAGAAATTCTGCCAATCATAAAATGTAACTGCATATTGACATTGAGTGTCGAGAGCACAGATACAATCTGTAGATGTTCCATTGTAACTGATGATACCTGTCAACCGAAAAGTCAACTAAACGAAGAAAACAATTTCTAACTGATCACTTAAAGTAGGAAACTTTCTGAAGTGAAATTCTTAGGAGCACTTCTGACAGCTTGATTCATTTAAATCAAGGTGAAACAGTCAAGATGAAAATGAGGAAAATCAAAAAGAAGAAGAAATTAACTTACTTCTGGTGGTGGCTGATTATATATACTCTGATTTGTACGGTTAAATGTCATGTCAAATGATTGCAAGTACATGTAGTTTTGACTAGCGAAAGGCTGATCGATTTGAATGAAAAGTCGTGTAACATTGATAAGAAGACCAAAATTGATGACTAGTCCTTCCATAAATTGATTGATGGTAATATTCAACTGAGCATTAAAATCACGTTCACTAATAACATTTGAAGTTACCAAAGATTGAGCATCGAATCGACGTAGAGCATCATCGGTTGTTTGGTTAATTAGGTTACATATACTAGACAATAGTCGAAAGTGTCGAGCATCTAAACCATACCACGACAAACGAGATATTGTTTTCGTTAATGAAATCCACATTTCACTAACGAAAACACTTGAACAAATTTGATGAATACGTGGAGATATTGATGTGATTCTTGAGTAAGGTATTGATATATTCGAACAAGGACATTTCAATGTACTCGAATATAACTTTTGTAATTCGTTATATTTACCAAAAGAAGGATATGGTTCACTTGCGATTACCACATGGGTACTAAGCGAGGTAAACATTAAAAAAATATAGATTGAACCTTAAATAATAGAAAGCGGACATTACAATATCATTTTAAACAAGATGACTTTTATGCCTAATAAATCTTAGCTAATCAATTCTTAGATTGACAAAAGTTATTCGAAGGTAGATAATAAACTAACTCGTTTTCACTAACCTGACTTGTTACTATATGAATTTGATGATTATGTTTCGTTTTTCGTTATGTTTTTATGATGATCCTTCGCTATTGAATCATTTATTTTGCTTTTGTGTCTGTCTACTTTTCTTCTCTGTATTAGATCCTGTGATTACTCTTTATTTTCCGTGATTATTGCTGACTTTTTCAATAAAACTCTCCCTAACATATCGTTCATCCAACAGAAAAGTCTTCTCATACCTGCAAGTAAAATCAGATAAACGCGTGTAGTGAAACGTTGATTTTGTATATCCGTTGACGTTCGATTATTTGCTGACTTAAATAGATTCAATTGTTTCAACCATTGTGTACATCCTTGTAACAGAAATATGATTAATCTTAGAAAAATATCCGATTATTATCTGGAAACAAACATACCACTATTGATTCTTGAATAATCTGAACGGCGTTTGAGTTTCATCGAAATTTTAATTGAACCCGACGACAGTGTACGAAGCAGAATGATAAGACCACCATACAGACTAAGAAAAAGAGTGATTGTGTACGAATAATTTGTTTGAATAATTCTGGTGTAAGTACAAGATTTCGAAGCACATGCAGTAAAATATTGCGAATAATTGATGTTTGTCATCCACTGTTCAACAAGAAGATTACTGAAGTATTTCCTCAATGAGAGATGTGTTTGATTTGACGACAGATATAATCGGATTGAATCGAGATCAATCTATCGTATGAGAAGAAAACTATTTATTACTTAGAACATACCAGAAGTGGTGGTGGCGGCGACTCTGTCAGTTTTCATAGGATATTTTCACGATTTTTCTTCATGTATATTCTAATAGTCCGAGTCGCGCTCTATCATTTTATGATATTTCAGAAGTCTTCAGATGGTACTATACAATGGAAAACTTAGCTGCCCGGAAGACCACAGCTATTTTTTCGATGAAAATGAAAGTCAACGAAACATTTTGAAGTATATATATATATAAATTCAGTTTTTTGCGCTGATTACAAATACCATATTTTTATCACAAGAAATTTGAGTATTAAGGAAAAAATCGATCGAAAACTAGGTTAAAAACTATTTTCTTTGTGAACTAATCACTGTTTTGCTAAGTTTCCCATTGTATCGTACCCTCTGCAGACTTCTGAAATATCATAAAATGATAGAGCGCGACTCGGACTATTAGAATATACATGAAGAAAAGTCCTGAAAATATTCTATAAAAACTGACAGAGTCGCCGCCACTACTTCGGGTATGTTCTAAGCATCTTAAACAAGAACTGAATATGAAATATATACTCGGTACAGGCCAGGAAAATAATCAGCAAGAACTTGCAGGCAAGTAAGATTATAAAGACAATCGAATGTACTTTCTAGAATACCATCAAGTGGAGTACATCCGCTAAAGAATCCGTCAACTAATGCAGATATATCTGGTTCGAAATCAGGCGGATATGTAGGCCAATACTGTCGATAGATGATATCGTAAAGACCATTCTCTGCTGCAAACGAAAGGAATCCAGATGGAACAACTATCCCATTGATAAGATCACAAGTTGAAACAATATCAGATGAACTAGGAGCATCAAGGTCAATATATTTCACATATAATATATAAAGTCGATCTATTATTGTAGCATCATTCATGGTGCGCCAATCGGCAAAATAAGTATTGGTATTAAGTGCCGTGATAAAAGAATTCGATCGAGTAAAAATTTGAAGAAAATCAAAATATAAATTAACTTGAGTAAGTATTCCGCTACGAATGAGATCTATATTTGTCTGAATTTTAGCTTGAACTTCTTGTTCGGAGAGAAGATCGACCGAAAAGAATTGTTCACTTGCAATATTGGTTTTTGTTTGCGATATTGTCTGCATAGAGAATAAGCAGAGTGCAGCGAGAAGTTGAAACTAAAGACACTCAAGAAAAACATCTTCTCCTATGATGTTCTCATCAATTACCTACTTGATAACTGGCAGTTGCTCGAAAATCCATCATAAAATATTTGAATACATCTGATAAATAGAGAAAATCAATCCATTCTCTACTGACAAAATAACTCGAACATATAGGATGAAATGTGATCGTGTTGGAAACAAAAGTATCATATAGTATAAGATTTGTCGAACATGGACATGAAAGTGTTTCGTCATAATCAGCACGAAGTTTATCGAAAAGAGCTGAATTTACATTTGAAACAGTGTTCAGACGTGTTTGTTGGTCAGTCAAAGTTGCAAAGAAAAGAATATAGAGAGTTACTAAGACAATACAATCAACATGAACAAAATATCAGAATCTAGAAATGAAATTGTTCAACTTACTGACGAGAAGGAGAACGTATAGTCGAGTAGCATATAGTTGATATTTGATACTTTGAGTTATATGATTTGGTTCACTGTCCGTATCATCAGGAATAAAAACATTGTAATTCAATAGTTGTGCACGAATCCATAAAAATAATGTTTTCAAGTGCATTCTAAAGATAATAATGAATCGAAGGATTTAACACTTGATTTCTATTATGTTGCACAAAATAAATATATGATCGAAAGAATACAAATGTGAATCAGTCGATTATGTGTAATATCTTCTAGTTTGTTGAGAAAAGTAGAATTTTCATAAACAACAAATGTTTTGTTTGACGCCCGAGGAATAATAGGAACTGACTTTTTTGTACAGTTAATCTAACAGGGGAATTTCTATTGGTAATTTTAGCAAAAAGATCTTCGTACTGAACAAGTTCCACTAAATCTTTCCTGGTCTGATATCAATTGCTTCTTCGTTATTTTTCTACTTACCTTCAAATCAGTATACAAATTCTTTTTCTAACTATTCCGTTGTTTGCGCGATAATTAAAAATGCAGCGTATCATGAAGAAAAGAGTAGTATAAAGCGATAAAATTGAACGGATGCAGAAAAGCCATTTTCTATTTCAAACAGGATATTATTTTTAGTCTTTCTTTTACTTAAACTTCATATATAATGAAAAATCTGATATATATATATATAAGAATACTTCAAAAGAAGTAAAACAAATGTGGTCAAATAGTAAAAGACATGACAACTATGAGATTTTTATTCTTAAAGGAAGATCATTTCCATTAAATTGTTTAATAGAAATTTTTGTGCATAAAAAATGATGGTGATCAATCATATTGCTGACTGATCGAATCATAAACAAAGAGTAAAAGAAGCTTTTGTTACGAATTATCGATCAAAAATGAGAACACACTATTCTTTATCGTTGTAAATAATTTGTATACATAGCTTTTGTTCTGTCACGTCAATATGAAGAATTTGACGATACGTCGGAATAAGAAAAAAAAGACGTAAAAATAAATGAGAAAACAAACGAACAGTAATACTGTTAGTATAGTCACTGTGCAATTACATTCATATTTTATGTGCATAAAAGAACTTATAAAATTGTTAAAGAGAATCACATTGATCGTTTCTTATTCTCCATCGCCCTCACTAAGTGACAATTAATATGAGAACATTTCTATTGAGTAGGTGTAGAACAGCGCCCGGGATGTTTTTAGGTCGTCATGCGCAAAGGTATTTGTATAAATATCCATGGTAATGAAAACAGATGGAACAGTTATGATATTCTTGTGCATCTTTCGAATCCTGCCATTATTTATAACTTTCTGGTGTGTTTGTTCATTTTCACCAGATTTATCATCGTTTGATGCATATGGTGTCAAAATTGCTGCTAACGACGTTCTCATAGTGGAATCACTTCCTTCGACTTTTTCATTTCTTGTTCGTCTTGCTCCTTTCGATTATTCATTTTCATGTACAATTCCCTACAATAATGCCAATCAATACGTATTTGCTGTCGCAGTTGATCCCGAAGGAACATATAATAATCCTGTTCGTTTTGTTTTTATTGGAATTAACACATTAACAAAGGTACCATTTATTGGATCATTAACGTATGTCGGTGTCACAGGTGATGCTTTTGTATCAGCAACAAATGGATCACGAAAAGCGAGTTTTTCATGTGTTGGATGGCAGACAAATAATTATCGTTTGCATCAATTTTCTCAACTTGTCACAACTACTGATGACACGATTAATAGCGATTGTTTCGTTGTTACCATCGCGTACTAAAAATCTTCGCATTGTTTATAATCTCAATCAAGAGATTGTCTCAACTCAACTTGGTATTGCCTTTAATTACAATCGTGATTTATTTTTCGTTATTCTCGGATATGTCGGAGATTCAAATACTAAATTTACTCCATGTGCTTATCTGTCAAGCGTTTCAAATTCGACTTTCAAAGTTTGGGATAAATGGTTGTACGCGCTATTAACAAATACTTCATGGCAAGCGAGTGTAACAAATCGTAATGCAGATATTTATGCACCAAAGTATAGAATGTCTGTAAAAATAAACAATTTCAGGAATGAAGTTTTAATTGGAATTCCAATAATGAATACAATCGTTATATTTCATATAAATCGCATTAATCGAACATTTTCCTCATTATCATGAATGCTACCTAATGGGGAAAGCAGTTGGTCGGCTCGATGAAAATCTTATTTTAGTCCTGGTAAATACATATTCTCTTAATTATATTTGGTTATCGTCACAATTATTCACATACAATATCACAAATCCAAATACTTTCGCTGTTACATCAATTTTCCCTAACGTTCAACAAACCTTGTCATCTTCATTTGGTCCAATCTTTCTGTCCTTTTCCATTACTCATAATGGTACTGTCGTTCTGTTAGATTCTCAAGGTAATTATTACATTATTCTTCCATCATCCGCTGGTTCATTATCTGACACAAGTACAAACACAATTTCATCATCAACATTATGCATTGGTGGAACTTACAGTACGAAATTGGATGTTTTCTCGTGTTTACTCTGTCCACCGGGTACGTCAACAAATGGTCTCACAGGTCAATCATCATGTTTACCATGCAAAAACAATTCATTTTGTCCACTGGGTTCATCATTCGGAAACATAGATAGTTCATCGGTATTACTTTCGACTATTAACCAGGGAACTCCGTATCCCATATCTCCGTTTTCGATTCGATTTGACAATATTCTAATACAGAATATGTTTACAATTCGTAAATCGATGTCAAAACATTGTTTGAGTGTGTCGCCACTCTTTTGGACAATCATTGTGATTGTTTTGGGCTTAATCATCTGGTTTGTGCTATTCGCTCTTAGTCGTTGTGCGAAAGATTCAATGGGACACAAAGCGCATCAACAGATGAAAAGATTTTTGAAAAGAACGGATCTGATCGGTGAAGGAGAAATGGTCATCGGCGGATTATTTAGTTTTTCCATTATCGTTCTTGTTTCGTTCGCTTATTCATTCAGTAATGCATATTTTCATCGTTATCCAATAGAAGACTTGAAAAATGAAGCGACATTCGCTTGTGATCCAACATTGAAGAATTCTCAATTCAGTTCAAGTTTAATGGCACTTGTGGTTCCTCCAAACGACGATGAAATTCCACTATTTTCTCTTCTTGATAGTCAACCATTTACATTACACATCGATTTTGTCAATACGCTTTTCAAATGTACTGATATAACTGCTTTACAACTTAAAGACACTACCTTGCCGATGCTTATCTCTTCTTGTCATGACGAAGGTGGAAGTGTTTCGATTTCACTGGCATTACCAACACATTTGATTAAGATGCAAATTCTCCTTGAGGGCACGAACACGATCGGTGCTCTTCGAATTGGTTTGGAAGCACACGGTGTGGAGGAAGAAAACGAAACATTCGAAGTTGATTACAAAGTATTCGATCTGATGTTTGCACAAGCTTTGTTCGTTTCAGGAAGAGTACTCACTCAACAACCATCATGTGTATTAACACTGACGAAAGTTATTAATCGAACATATCCATTAATGGAAGAAGAAGAAACGAAATTAAGTGGAATGTGGTTACCAACATTGTCCGGAGATGTTAATCAAATGTTTGTCGATGATATTGAATATAAATATTCAACAAGTAGTAGTACGATTCTCTCGATTACCATTGATGAAACGCCATTTTATACGTTGAATGTACAAAAACCGATTACTGACGAAGAGGAACTGATTTTTAGCAATTTACTCTTTACAATTGTTTGTTTGGAAATTTTTGGCTTGGGATTTCTCATCGCGAAACTTATCATCATTCCTCTGATTAAACATTTATATTTTTGTTTCAAAAAGAAAAACTCAATGAGCAGAATTGACGAGAATAATCCGAATACATGGACACCTTCATCGGTTCGAATGTAATGAGTTTTATCACAATTCGAAGATATTAGAAATTATTAATCTTATATATTAAAGTTATTCTATCCTTTGGAAACTTGATTTTCTGTGACGATCTCTTTATTTTATAAACGGAAATAATAACTGGTACATCTTCTTTCACACATTTGTATTTACTCTCATTGAGATTTGTCGACTCATCAATATTATTCTAATTTTGATCATATAACACATAGATATCTACAATAAATAAGTTTTATCTAGCGACGAACATTGAAAGTAAAATTTGCAAACAAAATTTCTGAGAATTTCCTCTGAAATGTTGAAAATTCATTCTTAAACAATGTTCAAACATTTTGTGTATAACGAGAAAGTTAGATTTTGAAAAAAAATATTGATTCAATGCCTGACAATATTATTTCTTTTCGTCTCTTGCCTACACCGTGATGCATTATACTATTTACATGTTTAGTCTGTTCTCTTTTTATCTACGTAGTAACGAGTAGGGGATTTCGTTATTAATACGAAGGTAATTATTATACGAGACATCGAAAGCGAAGCCTATTGCGCCATATATTTAATATGTAAACATAATAATCATTAGATATTCGCCTTTACACGTTTCTATTTATTCATATACCTGAAAATGATGTGTTTTATGAAAGGATGTTTTTTCGAGAGCAATTTAACGAACTATCACAATACACCCCGAAGCCAATACAGCTCGGATGTCCTTCTACTTTAGTTCGCTCGGTTTTCTAAGAACTGATTCTGTAATACATTTATGATGAATGGCGAAAGAAATCAAAGATAAAAGGAAAAGATATGATGATATTTTCTCGTGTAATAATCTCGATCAACGACAGTGAAACACTGATGTTTATTTGATACGAAAGATATTTTGATTAAAAAAATTAATTTGTAACTACTTAAACAGTATTGCAATTGATGTTCATTGAATAATCAATTGAAGAGTAACATATACGAGGAGAGAATAAAACTTCATGATATATATATACTTTTGAAAGAAATTTAAATATTTTTGTGCTCTGCAAACTCAGACACTCGTAGATTAATTAATCATTTTTTTACGAAAGAAATCCAACTGCGTAGATATTCGGACGATTGAATAATTTTTTTCTACGTTGCTTCAGTACCCGAGACTTACGATTTCACCTTTCAATAAATGAATGCACATTAGAAAAAGTAGATGTGTCCCTTTACATATCAAACATAACCTGTCTGAAGAAAAAAACTGTACCTACTATCTCCATGGTACGCCCGATGCATTCTATCATATATTTTCATAAAAATCGTCTGGATATGAACATATCTTTCACGATGTATTATTATCTTTTTGAATCAAAATGAAAAATATTGATTGACCAAGATTTAAAATATTGAAGTTAATTCTTTTGAAAAACAAGCAAACTGCGTAAATTACTTCTATATAAATAACCTTTACAAATGCACATACATGATCACACCCTTAGCCATACATTCATATTCGATAAATGAAATTCGCAATCACGCATGTCCCAAATGGGGCTTCTTCGTATTTTACTACCCTATAAAAGCCTCGAAGGTTTGCAACATTTGATCACCATTACTAAGCAAATTAAGGTATGCTTTAATCAATGCATGTCTCCTCATTTTATCTAATGAAATTCTTCGTTATGTATTTAGATTGTTGGTTTATTCATTAAAGTATTGAAGAAAAATCGGTCAGAATGTCGAATGGATTGATGAAAAAGCTTCGTGAAAATCCCATGGCAATTGTTGTTTCAGCATTTGCTGCATTTGGTGGCTTTTTATATGGTTATGACACCGGCACCATCTCGGGAATAATCGATATGCCATTTTTTCTCGAAAAATATGGTTATCTACAGAACAATGCCACAGCTACGTATGCTCTCCAATCAAGTGACAAAAGTTTAATTGTTTCGATTTTGTCTGCTGGTACATTTGTCGGTGCATTACTTGGTTATCCATCTAGTGATTTTCTTGGACGTCGATGGGGCCTAATCTTGGCATGTTTGATCTTTTCAATTGGTGTTGCATTTCAAGTAGCAGCTACAGCCACACCCCTATTTGTCGTTGGTCGTGTTGTTGCAGGTCTGGGTGTTGGAATTATTTCTTGTATTGTTCCCCTGTATCAAAGTGCATGTGCAC